TTTCGTGGAACTCATAGAAAAATTGAGAATGATCCACGTTATTATCCATTTTTTAAGGACGCAATCGGAGCAATTGATGGTACTCACATACCGTGTGTTGTCCCCGCTGCAAAACGAGATAGATTTATTGGCAGAAAGGGAAATCCATCACAAAATGTCATGGCTGTATGTGATTGGGATATGTGTTTCACTTTTGTCTTGGCAGGATGGGAGGGATCTGCACATGATGCTCGTATATTTGACAGCGCTATTACAAATTCATCTCTAAATTTCCCTCATCCACCTCCAGGTATATGTTTATATGTTCCAATCATGCACGTTTTTAATTATTTTATATTTTCATTCATTTCATAACGTCTGAAATTGTTTCATGAATCTTTAGGGAAATATTACTTGGTTGATGCGGGATATCCAACACCAAATGGATATCTAGGTCCATACAGATCTGAGCGCTACCACCTTCCGGACTTCCGACGACAAGTAGGATTCCGAAATAGTAACGAAGCCTTCAATTATTATCATTCCAGTTTAAGGTGCACAATAGAAAGAACATTCGGTGTCTGGAAGAATAGATTTCAAATCCTACGAAATATGCGCAGTTACGACTTCCAAACACAAGTGTACTTGGTTTGTGCAACAATGGCCATTCATAACCTTATAAGGAGACATTCAAGCTCTGACTTCTATTTTCAACAAGCTGAAGATGGTAATGTAATTGGCGAACATGATCAGACTGAAGCTAGTCAACCATCACCTTCAAATGTCAATTCACAGTCTTCATCTCATATGAATCGCGTCCGTGATGCAATCAGAGACCAAATTATCCATAGCTTATCAATTAATTAATTATGTAATATTATTATTTCATTTCACTTTGTCGCAATACTACTAATTGGAGTTCAAAACAGTTTTATCCGTTCAAATTATGTTTTGCTTTTATTTGCCTAATATTTTTTATGATTTCTCTAAATTTTTCAATTTTAATTCACTCTAAATTTCACCTCTTCATTATATTATCTCAATTCTTTTTTTTTACATGTTTCACTTTATATTTCAAATATTTTTTGATTTTTTAAAAATTTTATAATTTAATCCACTCATTAAATTTATTTCTTCATATTATTTTATTTTAATTTTATTGTATTGTCTTAAATCAATTTTTTATCATGTTTCATTATTTATTAAAACTCATGCCCATTTTGGTAACTTTTCAACTAAAATTACTTTTACTCAACTATAATCCAAACAAGCTTTTTCCAATCTCATTTTTGTAAACTGCTTGTCTGAACTCCAATCCAAACACAATTCAGCTTATCCAATTTAACTTTTACCAACTTCACTTTTCCATAAGCTACTTTTTCTATAAGCTGCTTTTCCAATCGCTGATCCAAACGAACCCTATATTCTGTGAACTTGAGAGATTTAAGCATCCATATTGAAGGAATGTAAAATTCATTGATGGATTATTTCCCTTGATACACAGTAATGTTTTGCAATCGAATCATGATTGGACTAGGGGAAAATAGTAATTAAGACCTTGATCATCTCGTACTATTTTCTTGAGTTTCTTAAACTCATCAAAATTTTTATCAACAGTACCACTTAGCTTATGATTGAAGAAGATATAAATGTCACTAGTGTATAGGATGCATTTTTCTTTGAAAGAAAATTGTAAAATCAAAATGAAGGGAGAATTACAATAAGATCTCAAAGAAAGAAAATAATTACCAGTAAATCCTAATGACAAGTGAATAGTAGTCATTTACTATCTTAGAGCTTGTCATTACAAGGCTGCTTATGTTGTCACTGAGACTTTTTAGTGATTATATTCTTTGCTTGAGACTCATAATAATTCTCCCTAAAAGGAAAATAAAAAAGACAAGGGATTCTTAACACAGCATTTGTAGGAGGGTCACATTCACACGCTATGCAACAATAAATTCTTACCGGAAGAAATTCTTCCCTGTTTTAATCAGTACTCCCTTGTGTTCTTATTATAACATTTAAATAATTAATTTTCATGTATCAAAAAATTAATTAAAAGTAACAAATAGCTAAAAAATATATTTTTGTTTGCTCTTATAATAAAGAAGAAAAAAAATGAAAGAGAATATATGAAAAAATATCATAAGAGGGAGTGACAAAGGAGGAGAATAAATTCATTAAAGGCAAAATGGAAAAAATGTATTAAATGGAGAAAAAGTTTTGCCTTCCATCTTCGGACAGCCAAATCCAATTCATTTATCATATTTCAAACATCAATACTTACAGAAACAATTAAAGAAGAAGAAAAAGAGGGCTCACCTACGAACAAAACAGAGATGCGGCGGAACAGAGGAAAGCGCACAGAGCAATGCCAAATTCAAACGAATCACTAAGAAGCAGCAAGGAAAGAAGAAACAAGAGGCGAACTGCTCACCTCACACCATCAAGGTGACGGACGGCAATGGCAGGAGGAGAAAAATGACGATGATTTCTCAAGAATAGTAAGCAAAGAAGAGGCCGACGGCGGAAGGAGAACGGCGCAACCACCGCGGCAGTGAATATAAGGAGGATGGAGGTTGACAGGAACTGCGGCTGAGATCCCCTTTTTCTAATTCTCCATAGGTTCCTTCTCTCTTTTTCTCCACTCCCTTTAGCGTAACAAGCCGAGAAAAATTAATTAAGTTGGTTAATTGTAAGAAATATGTGCTGACTTTCCTAAATTATTTTTTTTAATCATGTTCACTGCAACTATCATTTGATAGAAACGACGCCTTATGATCAATAAGGATCTTTTAGAACAAAAATAATAAGTTTGAGAGATAAAGTAATTGAGATCTTACATTTAGAACCAAATTCTAACTTTTATACTAAGAACCAGAGGCAGTATTTTACATTACTTTTAAGGCCATTACAGGATTTTTGCCATCTTTGAACATTTCTACACAACACAGGCCATTCGCACTTGCTTACAACAAAACAAGAACAGTGAATATGCATAATAGATAGTTGACCTACGGCCATTGGTTCGTATATATATTAACACTTCCTCCTGAATCCTTTTCTATAGTCTTTAATACATACAAATGACGTAAAAACCTTCTTCATAGATTATATTTTAAATATAAAATATAAATTTTAATCTAAAACCAGAAGGCTTGATCTACGTACCTTGGAAGGATAGACTCATCTTCTTCAACAACGGACTGATCATGATGTCTGGAGCATTGAGTATAACCTCCGTATTTCTCAACGTCGGTTCGTGTAACATCAGTAGCCTGCAATATTTCCATCATTGTCTCAGGGCCCAGGATTTGCAGACCCATTGCCCCATTAAGTGCTCTTTTAGCAAGTAAATAAGCAATGCCATTGCCGTCCCTGTGAAAGACCTGGATATCCACAAACCAATCCCACTCTAGCATCCCTTTGATTTCCATGATGAGAGCAATATCCTTGTGCGTCTCAGGGACTTCAAATTCGATCAATCGAACAGCCTCAGCGGAGTCGCTTCTCAAGATAACATCTCCAATACCAGCGTCCCAAGCTCTTTTGAGACCCATCAAGCAACCCCATAGTTTGGCTGTGAGGGTATCTCCGCCACTTAATTTCAGAAGAAAAGCCTCCTTCATACAATTGTTGCCATCTTTAAGAACGCCTCCACAAGCTGCTTTGTCATCTGAATGAGAATAGGCGCCATCCACTTCTACAATACAATCATCAGGTCTCGGCCGGGGACTATAACCTCCACTGTTGATGTCTGGATCAATCTTCACGTAGTTATTGATGATACTACAACCTTCGTCCCCTGTTCTTCGCCATGCTTCAACATCTTCTTTACACACCGCTCGCCACCCACACTTGCTTATTTTCATCCTTGGTGACTTATTTTCCATTGCATTCTTAGAGAAAAATACCATTTGAAGTCCATTGACAACCAAAGAGGAATAAGGAATATATTTATATAAAGCAGAGGACTATAAGCCGGATGTGCATAATGACTATGCCCACCATGCGAGTTTGGAAATTCATCATTAGGAAATCTGCAACTCCAACAAATTTCATCCCACCCCTCTCCAAATGTGAGATCGTGTTCTATGACTAAGCATATGGCTATGCCCCACCATTCACGTGAACCACAATAATCAGGGGATATATTTATTATGAACGACACATTGGGACAGCACCAGAATTCTTTCTCGCAAAAGTAGTTTTGATTATAAAACCATGATGGTACTTTGCTGCCTGGAATTGTTAATGAGCGCCAACGTGGACGGAAGGAAAAAAACTGGGGCAAAAAAAAGCAAAAAAAAAAAAACAGATTGTTTGTATCAGAAGTATGTTGATTAACACGTAAGAAATGGCAATATATACGTACAAGTAAAATAAACTATATATTTATTGTCAAAGAAATTAAGAAAAAAACAGGTGATTCTAAAAACTCACAATTTCTGAATCCCCTCTTATAATTGCTGACTTCATATTTAAATGGTTGTGAACCTATAAGAAACAATTTTGCGTGTTAAAGAAGTAAAATGATAGAGGTGAAAGAACAATTAAAGACAAATAAAATAAACCTGAGGTTGAAATGATTCAATGAAATCCCATAATTGATCTGCACATCCGTAATGTTTTAGTGATGAACAACCTTCAGCCCATATAACTGATAGATTTGACGGAAGTTGCGGCAAAGACCGAAGCCTTGGGCACCTCCGGAGACCAATAACTTTAAGCTTCGAAAGACTGGAAATGAGGCCAGATGGTAAGTCAATGAAATCGTTTCCACTTAGATCTAAAATTTCCAATGATGATAACATGCTGATGTCATCAGGAAGTGATCCATCATGGAGATTGCAAAAACTTAAGTTTAATCCTTTCAAGAACGACAAAGACGGCGGCAACAAAAACTTTTTGGAGCTTGAAGGCCTTTGAAGAAGGGATAAGCAACTCCATGATGATGAAGATTGTGTTTCGCTATTGTAGTCACTAAATGATAACCCTTGTATAGCAATCCCACTCAAATCTAGCTCTTCCAAAGCTTCATTTTCATTCAAATTCTCTGGCAGCCATGAAAGCTTTGAGCATTCAGAAATTTTGATAACTTTCAGAGCTTTCAACTTGCTAACACTACATGGAAGACAAACCAGCTTTTTGCAGTTTGTCAAATTTAATTCAACGAGACCAATCAAATTACCCAACGATTGAGGTAGTTTGGCTAGAGCAGTCTTCTCTAAATCAAGCTTTGATAGACATGCCATATCTTTTCCAAACTCAGGAAGTTTTCTAACTTTTGAACAACCTGATAGAATAAAAGTCTCCAAGCTATTCATCTCAAATTTTTCTGGAAGCGTTTTAACTTCTTTGCAATCTTTCAAGTCAACAGTGACAAGTTTCTTGTGTTGCCCAAGAGACTGGTAAATTTTAACCAAGTTAGAACACCCTTGAAGAATCAACTTTTCAAGATGAGGAATTCCATCAAAATTTGGGGTTTTGATGAGGTATTCTGAATGAGATAGATCAATGGACTTCAAGCTTCGAAGAGACTAACAATAAGGGAAAAAAGAAAAAGAAAGAATAGATCAAAACCAGAGACTAATTATAATTATAATTTATTAAATTATGGACAAACAATTTAAATAAAAGGACTGTAAGTACCTGTGTTCCTCTCCAAAGTTCTTTTAACTTGCTATGCTGCATTTTTAGCACAACAAGCTGATTGAGTTGAGGTTGACTTGGCAAATAAAATAATGGATACCCCTCCCATTCTATGACTTTCAACTCTTTGGAAAGAGACTTGAGTCCAAGCGGAAGATTCAATTGGCAATGTGAAACGTGTGAGTGACTTGAAATGATAAGTAACTTGAGATTACTCAGTTTTGAGAAGGCTTCAGGATCCCAAAATGCATCACATGACTTTTTTAACGTTAGCATTATTCCCCGGGTTGCTTCTGTCCCCTATAAAACAACAAGTCAAGGTAAAAATATATAAAATTCATGCAATAAATTATTATAAGAGTGCACAAACACAAGAACTTTGGAATGTCACCTTATTTCCTCCTAATACATGATTGGCATCATCCAAGGACAATATCCTAGAAAGCTTGCTGGCATCACCAGATGATTCTTGATAGACAACATGTTTAGCCATATTTTGTAGAATTTCATGCACCCACAAACGCCCTTCATAATTAATTACTAGTGATTTGTCAATAAGAAGCCTTATTCCAATTTTTGGGTGAAGATCCTTATCCAATGTTTCTAAAATTTGTATGATATGATCTTCGTCCATCCCATTGAAAAAGCAAGCAATATCCAAGAATATAGTCTTCTCATTAAGCTCTAATCCGTGAAGACTCACTTCAAGTATCTTGGAAATGTCCTCTGGAAGACATTTCTCGAACTTAGCTAGTGCATCTTCCCATTCCTCTATCGTTCTTTTGCAAAGAAATGAACCTAACACTTCGAGTGCTAAAGGAAGGCCTCCAGCATATTCAATGACGGTTCTAGCAAGGTTCAAATAATCTTCATTAGGTTGCCCTTCTTTAAAAGCATTTTGAATGAAAAGTTTAAGGGACTCGCTATCACTCAAGAATTCAATGTGATATATAGCACTATCAGATACACCATATGATGATAGCAAATGCTTATCCCTTGTTGTTATCACTATTATGCTCCCTTTGCTGAACCATCCTTGCCTTGGAGCCAACTTCTCAAGTTGGCTAACATGACTCACATCATCAAGGACAAGTAGAATTTCTCTGTCGGTTAACTTCCTTTTTATCAACTCCATTGCTTCATAAAAATCAGCCACTTCTATACTCCTTTTGTACAAAGATAAAAGAAGTTTTCTTTGCAACGAAATCAAACCATCTTTTTCACATGCCTCTCTAATATTATCAAGGAAGCAGTGAATCTCAAAGTTTTTGCTCTTTCGCTTTCGTTCTCGCTCATAAAAGGCTCTAGCAAGAGTTGTTTTGCCTACGCCTCCTGCACCCCATATTCCTATAAACCCAACTTCTTCTGATTCCCTTGCTATGATTGAATTCAGTTCATCTAATTTTGGTTCAATTCCAATTAACTTGCCAAGATCAGATGCTGATTTATCAAGTAACTTTGACCCGATTTCATCAGCAATGCTTTCAATGAATTCTGTTTCATACCTGCATATGAAAATAAAATTATAAAGTGTAAATTTTTTTGCATAAACAATCCCAAAAAAAAAAAACTTGGTAATGTGAGATGTGTGAAGAAAACATGACCACAAATTTAGCAGTTTTAAGTTTACCATGAAACTTAGTTTAAATTAGTTGGGAACAGGCGATAATTTCATTTATAGAAGAGTTGTACATTGCCTCTAGTATTTATAGACACAGACGATTATGTTTATTTGTCCACACATTAATAACTCCTAGATATTCAAATCATTTAATTAACACATCATAGTTTGAGTTCCTCTTTTCTGGTAATTCGTTTTATTTATATTTGAGTATTTTTTTTTTCCTTAATTTTATTTAAGCAACTTTTCACAGAACACATTGTCAGATTAAAAGTTCAAATTTAACGCCAATAACGTTTTCGACCGTCAAAAACATAATAATTATTGTGTTGTAATTTTACTATATATTGTATGTATGTGTTTTATATATATATATATATATATATATATTCAAGAAAATGACCATTTCAGAATTCCATCATTAATTGAGTTTAATTGCAAAACCTAAATCATTTACGACCAATAAAGTACTACAGTTGTACTAGAAATCTATTTCACCAAGAAGTATAAACACAGGTCTACAATTAAATAAAGGCCGAAATATAAATAACTCCTCCTAATTTTAATTCTCTTACATACAACATCTCTTACCTTTGTAAGTTTAAAAATCACGCCCTCAACTTTCATTGTCTGACATTTAACCCTTTACCATTAAAAAGACGGTTAAATCTCATAGAATAGATGTGCATATAATTTTATTATTTTACTAATTTATCCTAATTTTAAACTCATAATTACACTAAAGAGCATTTTTGTAATTCTACTAATAATTATGCCTAATTCTACTCTCGCCTAATCATTTTGCTCTTTCGGGCATTCCCACCTTGTCTTGGTTTAGCTGGCTAGCAAGGTTCTGAAATTCTAGGACATGAAAGAAAACTCAATTGAGAATTGATTAATCCTACACATCGCCTTATTCGCTCTCCTTTGCGGGTTTGTTTGGTTGGAGGGGAGGGGAGGGAAGCCAAAATGTCCCCTCCCCCTCCTCTCCCCTTATTTTAGCTCCCCCTCAAATTGGGGTTTTTAGAGGGGAGTTAAATTTTTGGGTCATTATATCGTTATAGTTTTTTTAATATTCTACTACTACTATAAAATATATTTGTATAATATTTATTTCAAATAAAAAATATATTATCCTAAGTAAAAAATAAAAATTATTATAAATAAAAATATATTATTACAAAAATTAATTAAAAATAAAAAATTATTTAAATAAGAAATTATAAAATTATAAAATTAATTTTTTTTATAAATATATTATTTATTAAATATATTTTAAAACTGAAAAAAGGATAGCCTAAAGAGAATAAAATTTCATTTTTCTTAGAGCATATAAAATTTGTTAATTTGATTATTTCAAATATATTATTATATTAATTAGAATAAAAAATTACTGTATCAATTTTTAATGCATATATTAACATGATAAGACTGAGTTTTCATTAAATTATATAATTTAAAGTAAAATGTAAATTAATTTGTATAATATTAATATATCAATAAAAAATATAAACTAATATGTAAGGGTAAAATGGTAAATTGATTATTACTATCCCTCCTATCTCCTCCCCTCCTTGAACCAAACAAGGAATTAATTAAATATCCTTTCCTCTCTTCTTTTTTAATCAAATTAAACAAGGTGAGGATAAAACCTCCCCTCCCTTTCCCTATCCCACCGTCCCCTCAAACCAAATAGGCCTTAAGCGAGCAAACTGATTTTGAAGACTCTAAAGGTCTGTTTGGCTCAATAAAAAGAAGATAAGGGAGGGATTTTAATGGAATGAAGGGGAGGGAAGGAAAGTGGAAGGATTTTAATATGAGCTTGTTTGGATTTATAAAAAAAGAGGAGAGGGGAAGAGTTTTAATATTACCTTGTTTGGTTTATGATGGGAGGGGAGGAAAAAATATTTTAACATGGACAATTTTGACCTTATTTCATTTAAAATATGGGCATAATAGTTATAACATGGCAAAATATAAATATAATAGTCACAACATGGTAAAATATTGCCTTTTTCCTCCAAATCCTCCCATTTTTGGAGGAGAGGTTGAAAAGGGGAGAGGAGAAAATTTTTTTAAAAATTTTCCTTCCCCTCCTAAAATTTGTGTGTTGCTGAACAAAGAAAAATGATTAAAATCCTTCCCCTTCCCTTCCTTTCCTCCCAAATCCCTCGTACCAAACACACCCTAATTAAAAATTAATCTCAAGTGCCAAAACGCAGCTTCTGGGATATGGAGTATTTGCATTCTGGGAAGCCAATGACATTAGGTGATGCATTTCTCATATAAAATTAAAGAATCTAGATTGATATTAACAGACTCTAAACAAGCAAGCTTGAATGATGGATTTTTTTTATATATACAAAATGACAAAAAGATGAATAAAGACGTTGCAAAATGGGAGGACTTGCTAGCTAGGGTAGGCTAAAAGAACCACACGATTGGGTGAGATAGGGACTAGAGTTATTATTGGCAGAATTCCATAATATTTCTTGATGTAATTATGAGTTTTAAATTTAAATAAATTAGTAAAAATTGCATGTCATCTACTAAATATTTTTAGGGGTTAAAGATCAAACAATAAAAATTAAGGATACTTATTTATATTTTGGATTTAAATAAAAAGATAAAAACGTTAATCACCCTTCTGTTTTAGTCCCAAACGTCGGCGAAAAAAAGAACACAACCGGAGAAATGAAAGGAAGATGAAGATAAAAAAAAGATGAAGAATTGAGAAGGAAAAAAAAACAGAGAGAGAAAAAACCATTCGGACCCTTGGCCTCGTCATCTTATTGAGCCGTTCTTCTTTCTGGGTAAACGCCGAGTCCCTCACACATTTCTTCGGCTTTCTAAAGTGTAAAGCCAGGTTGCAAGAGCACGAGGTTTTTTTTTTTTTTTAATGATAACTAGGAAACAAGCAACAGATATAAAAAAACAAACTAAACCTAGCAATTCTTACACTCCTTGATCGGCCCCCACCCCAGAAACGTTGGGAGGAGGTTGATCAAAGAGGCAAAAATTGCCATCAATCCCATGAGAAGACTTTGCTAAGTGGTCTGCTAAGGGAATCGATTCCCTCCGGCAAAATACAGTCAACCAATCTCTATTAATAAACAGTTTGACCTCATCGACTAAGTCTTTGAACGGGTACTCATCTTCGCATCCCCGAGTTGCTAAGAGCACGAGGTTTTCGATTTAGGGGTAAAAATATTTTTATAATGTATAAAATAAAAATATAAAAAAAAAATTATCTGGTTTTACTTAAAAAATAGTTTTTTCAAAAACACCTTTTCGCTGGAACTTGGAATTTGGAACTGAAAGGGCTGTGCTAAGGAAGAGGAGTGTTTGCATCGCCGCCCTTCATTTCAAACGGATGGTCACGAGTTATTGCCTTTTTATTGAAAGAAGTCGATTCAACAGTGATATGTCACATCCTTCTCTCACACTTTTCTATATAAACTCATTTTTGCTTTCCAGGCCCCAAGTCATTTGGAAATTGAAAACTCATTATTATTATGTAATATACTCTGTTGGCGCCCAGTGGAGAAGCAGGGAAGATTTTTTTTTTTTCACCCCTAATATAAAGTTATGCAAATTATATAGAGAAAAAGACATTGAGTCCAAAAAAATATATATAGAGAAAAAGACAAAAAAAATAGAAGTCAAAAATTATTACATTTCGATTCAAGTACTTAGGAGATTAAAATTTCAAAAAGAAAAGTGATACTTGATTTGATATTGTGTAGATATAGTTAAATGACAAAATGTCCTTATATCAAAACGTTTATTAACAAATTGTGAATTAGTAATAATAAGTATTAAATAACAAATGAGAAAAGATATACTGATAATAACAAGTTATTTATTAATAAGTTGTAAATTAATAATGATAAATATTGAATAACAAATAACAAGAAATATACTGAGAACGACAAATTTGATTTTTTTTTTGTAAAAAATCTGATACAAGAATATTTTAATCAGTTACTATATTTGTAAAATATCAGATCATGCATCATTTTTTTTCCTTGAGATTTTAAACTTTTAGATGCCAAAATTGAAATACTACAATTTCTAACTTGTTTTTTGGTTATTTTCCCAACTATATAATTGTTTATTTATTCTTTTAATTCTTAATGTGTATTTTACTGCTAATATTAATTGTTTTTTAATTTTTTAGATAGAGTTCAATTGGAAACATGTTACATCTTTTATTTAAATATTATTTTTATCACTAAATCTTGATATTTATGTAGATTTTAATCCAATTACGGAAGTTTCATGAGGAGCGTTTAAGTTTCAGGTTTGATTTGTTCCTTGTGAGTGTTAGGTTAGTGAGTGGAGAATTGTCTGAGCTTCAATGGGTTATACTTTAACATTAGCTTAGCAAAAGGCGACCAGAAAAAATGGTTTTCCCTATCACTTATATATCCTAGCCGAGCCCAAATCCCAACCACTGACTAAACAGACTTATTGACCGTTCTACTTTTTAATACCTTGGTTTTACCTCAATTACGTACATAAACATCATTTTTATTTTGAAAACATAAATAAAACCCCCTGAAAATTGTAATGCATCTTATACATTATTTTTATCCCGTCAATTGTTAATTAACCATTAAATTTAACTTTTAAACTTTTGTTTTACCAAAAATACCTCTATTTGACATAAAAAATTATTCAAATATTTATATTTGTCAAAAACATAATTTTTCATATAATAGAAAATAATGTTAATTCATATATTTTCAAAATTTCTAAATTGTTATAAAATTTATTAATTATTAATTATGATTATTTAACGAAATTGTATAATTTTATCTTTTTCATTGCATGTATTGAAATATACTTAAATACATTTTAAGAGATTATATAAATAAACTAAATTTGTAATTTAAAATTTTTAAACATATTTTTGTAATAAAAATTTATAAATTTAAAAATATATTTGTTGGGCTGAATTTATAAACGCATTTAGTGAAATATATATTTATTAAAAAAATTACTGTAATTCTTAATGTTTTTATATATATGTTAAGCTTTTATCCCATTATGATAAAAACAGTAAAAAAAATAATTATTTACAAGAAAAAATTAAGGAAAAAAAGAAAACACTTAAAATTTTCAAAATAATTTTAATCAAAATTAGAAATTGAGTATAAAAGTTAAATTAGAAAATAAATATTATTTTAGTACAAATTTTAATTAAAAATATTTTTAAAATATATTTTTAATAAAGTTAATAATTTAAACTTAAATGTATGTTTTCAAAATAAATAAAAAGCTTATATAATTATGATAAAATAAACTAAAGTATTTTATATTTACGTAAATGATATTTATAATATTTTTTAGTCAAATCTTCATGCAGGGCACCCCCACCTATTTTAGGGGCTCAGGTCCCTTGCATAAGACACACCTTATCTTTAGCAGAATAGATCCCACAATCTCCTTAATAAGAGGGGATGTGGGTTGCCATTTTGTTTTTTTTTTTTGGGAGGGGGGGACCTTGATCAAACTATAATTTAGGATATATTTGAATATCTAGTTATCTACACCCTTATTTTTTTAACAAAAAAAGAAGGAGATGATAATTAATGAGAGAAGTGGAAGTTACCGGTTTTTTGAGTCCCAACCAGATAATGTAGCAACTTCTTTTAAAGCATCCCTCCATTCCTGCGTTTTGTCTTTGACAAATCTTTCTTCATGCCTTATGAAGGCTTCTGCAAATCTTCCGTTTTGTTTCCTAACATCAGAAGGATCTACACCGTAAAATATTGGAAATACTTGAAGACTTGTCTCTTCCTTTAACTGTAGGATCTTTTGAAGCTCATCCAAACACCAAGTTGAAGAAGCATAATTTGGAGAGAGCACAATAATTGCAGAACGAGATTCTTCAATTGCTTCTACTAAACTTGGATTAATAGATTCTCCCCTTTCAAGTCCTTCCTCATCCCGAAAAGTTCTTAATCCTTCGTTTTTTAAAGCAGCATACAAATGATCAGTAAAATTTTTCCGGGTATCTTCCCCTCGAAAGCTCAAAAACACATCATACTTCCATCTCTTAGTTGAACCAGAAGATCTTGAAGAACAGCCAACTCCATCAGCATCAGGCGCCATCACAAGGATTTGGAATCTGAACCCAAGTATAAAAGTAAAAACACAAGAAACTGAAAGAATAATACATATATAAAGGCAAAAAAAAAAAAAAAAAAAGAAAGAAAGAATAATACATATATAATAGGAGCTTCAACAAAGAGTGCAGCAATCAGTCCAATGCGAAGCCTTGGGATAGGCATTGGGCATATTAAAACAAGATATAATAGAAACATCAACAGACAAGGTTCTTCTCACCGCAAGAGTCATCTACTCTTCACGAATAATTTGAAAGCAACATTTCACAGATCTAAACAAGTCATTTCGGTGATCATAATTAAAGAAAGGAGAAGGGGAGAAAGTAGAAACCTGAAAGAGGAAATAATATCAAAAGATTTGTTCGACTCCCACCGGCCTGATATAAGATGAGGCCCAGCAGCCTGGTATAATTTTATAGAATGAAAAATGGAGAAACAGTTAGAAGGAAAGTGGTGGTAATGAGCTCATATCTTTGTCCTCTCTTCAGTCTTTGGGAGCTCAAATTTGAAAGCGTGTTACGTACGAAAATACAGTGTTCCATTTTGCTGAAGGACAGAACCATGGGTCCCTATGTCAGTGCTTTATTAGGTTTTCCTTTTTACTTTTTTGTCACAAGACTTAATAGGAGCAAGGGAAAACCAGAGCATTCCTCTTTTAATTTCCACACATTCAAAGATAGAGAAACGTATAATGATTTTCAAGAGATAGTGCAATTCTAAAAAGACTAGTATAATTTTCAACACAAACATGATTATTGTAAAAAATCATCATTTATGATTAATGATTATATGATTATAGAAATAAAAATATACTTTTTAAAATTAAAAGACCAAACTAAAACCTTATATAAAGTTAAAGAATCAAATGTATATTTTATCACTAATTAATTAATGTCTTTATTTATTTGTTTACTTATTTATATTGGTAAATCATATATATCTCTAGCTTGCCGCTCATGCCACTTAATATTATCAAACATATGCAAAATAATGGCGAGGAATGTCAAGCATAAAAATGTTTACAAATGAGGGAGGATAACTGTTTATATGAATATGAAGACTAATTCGTGATACTTTGCTCATTTAAATCAGATTTATTTGTTCACCTAGTTCTCTTAAGTATGAGAAGATCAATGCCTAATTTGGGCAGAATATTAAAGGGTACTTTCACCAATCCTATACAAGAGAATTTTCATTAGGAAATCCATCAAATTGCATCCCACCATGCGAAATCATTTTCTATCATTAAGCACGTGGCTATGCCCGGCATTTGGAATATCTTAGAAGCACTTTAAAAAAAGTGTTTTCATATAAGTTGAAATTTTTCTCACATATTTATCTCAAATATCATAAAATTACTTTTGAAAAGCTAAACTCTGATCTACCAGCCTGTTACAAATTATATGGAAAGAAAAATGGAGAAACAATGAGAAGTAAAAATGGTGGGTGTGAGCTCAAGTCTTCTCTTTTCTTCAGTCTTTGCGCGTTCAAATTTCAAACCGTGTGACGGACGGAACTACTGTTTTCCATTTTAATTTGCTGAAGGACAGAACCATGCGACCCTACCTCAGTGCTTTGTTAGATTCGGTTTTACCTTTTGTAGGTATGTATGTGTGAGAAAACGACCGAAAACGACCAAAAAGACTTTGGAAAGACTTGCTTTTATTTTATTATCGTGTTCTAGGCTGCACGACTTACGAGTCCCCTACTATATGTTGCTTCGTTTTGGAATCCAAGGGAAGGAGGCGAAGACCAGAGCATTCCTCTCTTAATTTCCAATTTATTCCTCGGATTCACATTCAAAGAAAGAGCACCAAAGTGCAAGCTTAAAAAAAAAAAAAAATTCAATCCCAGTAAATTAGCCAGTGAGGTGGGAGAACTAACCTATACAGGACTCGTAACAATGCACCCTCTTCAAAAGTCTAATTTCTAAATACTGGTTTTATTAGATAGAAAAACCTCTTAAACTTATAAACTGTAATACTTCTTGTTTGTAATATAAGAGCTAGTTGGGGATTCAATTTTGTTCTAAATATACTACTCTAATCTACATTTTTTTTATATTTATTTATTTTGCCCCCAAGTAATCTCTGATGATACAATAATTGTTTCAATACATATAATTATTAAAGATATTTTAGAAAAAATAACATCTATTTACTACAAATAATTAACTAAACTAATTTTTTTATGTTTGCAAATTAGTTTTCAGCTCCTACATTAAATACTAGAGGTAGTATTTTCCTTTTGAGGCTGCAAAACTTATGGCCCCCCTCTTTTTGGATAAGGAAATAAGACAGAGAAACTCTAAAATATTCCAAAACTCTCAAATATTTTGTAAAGCCAGTTTGTCATCTCTATAAAGTAAAAGCAAAGCAGTGAAATTTTCTTAATCCGCTCAACAATTGGCTCATTGTGGTTATTATAGCCAAGTTGGTATGCCAGGTAAATGCAGAGTTGAAAGATTAACCTTTTTTCCCTTTTATTTAATGGCCACGAGAAGTCTTAGGCAAAGGAAATTGAAAGTGGAAGTAGTAGAAAGTGAATCAGCTGAGCACATTTTCCTCTTTCCCTTTATAGCGCCATACTGAAATCTAAAAGCCCAATAATCATATGGATAAAAAAAGCCATTTAGAGACTAATACAAAAGATGAGAAAAGGGCAACAAACGGACTATTTGAGCTTCGGAGTAATGAGAAATATTTAGGGGGTGCGAGGGCATTATAGTCCATCCATCCCTTATTATAAAATTTAAATTTTTGCCTTGGTTGGTTGTTTTTATAAAATATTCTTTGGATTTGGCTGAATATTAAATGTAAAAAGTACATTTTTTTTACTTTTAACTAATTTTAATAGTTTTCTTAAGTCATGCAATTTGATTATTTGAATCTTATAATAAGAGATAGATAGAGTACTTTTTAGGACAAACTAATTTGAAAGTCCTTATAATTTATCTTAATGTGGTTCTTACATTTTAAAAGCTTATAAATCACTCCCTATAATAACCACCAGAGCACCATTGTCCTCACAGTTAAGAATAAAAGGAAGTCATAACGTACTGCTTTAATACTTTTACGCATATCTATGCACAAAGCTTCCCGTAGCAATTATCAAGCTGACAAAGTTATGGGATGGTGGATATAACACCTTAACTTATAACCTCTTCAATTTTTAGAGATAGAATTATTTTAAAACCTGTAATAATTTTTGTAAGTACCTCTTTCTCATTTATCTCTAATTTTTTGAAACCTTCTTATATTTTAAATAATTCAATTTCCGCCATTATTGATAATTAGCCAAAACTTAGGAATTTCATCAATTTGTTCTAGGGATATTTTCATTATTTTTTACCTCATACAGGTCTCAAAACCTCATTTCTCATTTTTTTTGGAATTTTTTGAAATATTTGGGCCCAAGCATCATTGCTCAATTTTTAGTCGAAACTTTTAAAATTTACATTTAGGTCCTTGTTTAGGTTTAACCTCAGGAATCCTTCCACTAAGATTCCCAGCACAACCTCTGACTCTTAATCATCTCCAATTTCCATACTTAACTCCTTAAGATTTCGTCGGAGTCTCTAACCTGCTCCCGTCTCGCAGTTTTAGAAAATTCTTACTTTGCGATTTGGTCTCTAGAAATCGTCTCGTCCTTCCAAGGAATTTTTAGAACTCCTGCTAATGGGGGTCTAATAGCCCGTTCATTTTAGGCTAACTCTGGTACCTATAGACCCAAAATTCGGGATGTTATAGTGGCCACTTTAATTTTCTGGGTATGTAATTTTGATGAGCAATTATCAAGCTTTAGTATGTGATAATAATTAAGCTAAAACTTAAAAAAAGAAATATATATATATATATGTCTATAAACGAATTCATAAAGAATGAGCAGGCACAAAGCAATTATAAAAAAAGGTTTATGAATAATTTAATTTAGAGTTAAGGTATATCCAGCATGTTAAAATATTTTTTTAAGTGTGCCCAGCACCTTAAATTATTTTTTAATGCATGCAGTATCTTAAAGTATTTTTTTCAGAGGCGTTTAGCACTCCAAAATACTTTTTGGTGTATCCAAAACCAAGAGAAAAAAAATTCTAGGATGATGAATGAACCACAAAATACTTTAATGTACTGGATACACAAAAAAAAAAAATATTTGAATGCTGAATGCAGCTTAACCTTTAATTTATTAACTACTTTTATGGTTTTCTTAAGTTATGCAATTTGATTATTTAAATCTTATAATAAGGGCGGATAGAGTACTTTTTAGGAAAAACTAATTTGAAAGTCCTTATAATTTATCTCTTTTTTCAGTGTGGTCCTTACAGTTTAGACGCTTATAAATCACCATTTGCACAGTTAGTCCCTACAATCGGCACCCTTCCTCCTCCTCCTATCACAGGTTACTGTAGTGTTAATATTAACTGGATAAGGAATATATGCCATATGAGAAATTATTTGCTGCTGCCATATTATTCTTTACCTCTTTTTTTTCCCCCTTGATGAACAAAAACGGGGGCAAACAAAGTAACCATATACTTTTGCTTGTTTCCATTATACTTCTCCGATTCTAAATATAAGACCTTTATATACACTAGCATAAGGGTCTTACATTTAGGACTGAAGAAGTACAAAGCTATTATTAAGCCCAAAAACTCCTCCAAGAAGATATCACCCAACTCTCCTGAAAGACTGGAGGAGGGAGAGAGGTTGGGGAATTGAAGAGTTTGTTGCCACACTGCTCACTGAAGGACAGAGGTTGAGGAATTCAAAATCATATTAAAACTACAAGTATTGTTGGATTAGTTTTCCCTATGAAACTTCTTTATGTTACTTCAAAATAGTGTACTGTATGGAGTGGTTGATACATTTTCAAAGTTGAATGTGCTAACTTCCAAGCATATCAAATTCACAGGCGGGGCCTAATTTGGGCAATATGGCTTCTTTTGTTTTACTTAAGTTCATTTTGGTGCAGTAATATATTAAAACTTGGTCAAAATGGTTTAACTGTTAAACATGAAGAATAGCCTGATACCTTGTTCGGTTCGCTTCACCATTTTTTACGATTATAACACTGTGCCTCGCCTTTATTTCTGACGCCACTGGCAATATTACAAGAGTTTTGCGCTTTTCCTTTCGTAACTTCTAAGCTCAAACATTGCAAACAAATTACAGTGTTTTATGTGGATCATCACTAACTCTGGACCATGGAATTAAAAATTTCAGGGACCTTAACCCATTGCATGATATTATTCATCAACAGGGTTGCAAGGAAAAGTACTTTGGGAGCATAATTCCTCGTGGCCTAAAATAAGCTGAGGTAACTGCAAACATATTAGTTTGCAACTTTAAAGTTATCAAGTGCAACTTTGGATCTGTTCAACTTAGCAATTCTTTGATTTCTTTCTATAATGATATAGGTTTCTTAACAGAACACAAATTTCTTGCAGCTTTTACCATGGGGAGGGAATCTCACAAGCGAGTCACATGGACCAAGTTTCCTTCAAGCCCAGAAAACTAAAATACTATAAAATTACTATTGAAAAGCTAAACCAAACACCTCTGATCTACCAGCCTGTTACAAATTTTATAGAAAGAAAAATGGAGAAACAATGAGAAGCAAAAATGGTGGGTGTGAGCTCAAGTCTTCTCTTTTCTTCAGTCTTTGCGCGTTCAAATTTCAAACCGTGTGACGGACGGAACTACTGTTTTCCATTTTAAATTTGCTGAAGGACAGAACCATGTGACCCTACCTCAGTGCATGTATGTGTGAGAAAACGACCAAAAAGACTTTGGAAAGACTTGCTTTTATCTTATCATCGTGTTCTAGGCTGCACGACTTACGAGTCCCCTACTATATGTTGCTTCGTTTTGGAATCCAAGGGAAGGAGGCGAAGACCAGAGCATTCCTCTCTTAATTTCCAATTTATTCCTCGGATTCACATTCAAAGAAAGAGCACTAAAGTGCAAGCTTAAAAAAAAAAAAAATCAATCCCAGCAAATTAGCTAGTGAGGTGGGAGAACTCACCTATACAAGACGCGTAACAATACACTCTTTTTAAGAGTCTAATTTCTAAACACTAACTTTACTAGATAGGAAAACCTCTTGAACTTATAAACTATTTTTAGCATAAGAGTTAGTTGGAGATTCAATTTGATCCTAAACATAAGATTTTAATATACTTTTTCTTCTATATTTATCTATTTTGCCCCCATTAAAGATATTTTAGAAAAAAATAACACTTATTTACCACAAATAATTAACTAAACTAATTTTCTTAATATTTGTAAATTAATTTTCAGCTTCTACATTAAATACCGGAGGTAGTATTTTCCTTGTGACACTGCAAACTTATGGCCCCCCTTTTTTTGGGGAAAGAAATAAGACAGAGAAACCGGTCTTTGTAAGATGCAGGTGGTTTTTCCCTTTGAGAATGAGAAGAAACTCTAAAATATTCCAGAACTCTCAAATGTTTTGTAAAGCCAGTTTGTCATCTCTAAAAAGTAAAAGCAAAGCAGTGAAGTTTTCTTAATCCGCTCAACAATTGGCTCATTGTGTTTATTATAGCCAAGTTGGTATGCCACGTAAGTGCAGAGCTGAAAGACCTTTTTTCCCTTTTATTTAATTTAATGGCCATGAGAAGTCTCAGGCAAAGGAAACTGAAAGTGGAAGTAGTAGGAAGGGAATCAACTGAGCACATTTTCGTCTTTCCCTTTATAGCGCCATACTGAATCCAAGAGCCCAATAATCATATGGGTCAGAAAAGCCATTTAGAGACTAATACAAAAGATGAGAAAGGGGCAACAAACAGACTATTTGAGCTTCGGAGTAATGAGAAATATTTAGAGGGTGCGAGGGCATTATAGTCCATCCATCCCTTGTTATAAAATTTAAATTTTTGCCTTGGTTGGTTGTTTTTCATAAAATATTCTTTGGATTTGGCTGAATATAAATGTATTTTTACCATTTTACCTTTCGTTAATATGCTCTCTGTTTTTTTTTTTTTACTCTCATCACTTATAAATAAGGACATATTTAAAAAAAAATTACATTTTTTCATTTTTAACTAATTTTAATAGTTTTCTTAATGCCACGTTTGGTATGATGGAATTGGGAGGTATGAAAATGGAAATGGAATTGATTTCCATCAAGATGTTTGTTTGGTATGATGGAATTGGAAAATTTTCCAATTCCATTTCCACCAAAAGTGGTGGAATTGGCCTCCACCCTCACACCCCAAGATTTGTAATTCCATCTCCCTACTTTTGTTTTTACCCTCCTTAACTAGATGCAAGCGAAAGTCCGAAGGCCTTCAAGCTTATCGCCAGCGAGTACCCACCTTTGCTCCAACGACCTTCAAGCTCATCACCGGCGACTATCGACCTTTGTTCCGACAGCCTGAAGGCAATAGCGACGACTACCTCTTAGAAGTCTTTATCCTTTGACCCAAACTCTGTTCGCCTAATCTTCAAACTAAGCTCTGATTTTATAGTTTCAAATCTGACAAAATGGACAAAACCATTGAAAAATTAACCTTTGAAAACATGGGTCGTCAGTTCTAAAGAAATCGTTTGTTCTGAAGCTCGATCAATTTTTGAATCTGTGAAGAAAAATGATTTTTACTTCTTCGGTTGAAGTTCCATCAATTTTTGCATATCAGAAGAACCATGATTTTTGCTTCTACATGTGCGTTTCTTTTTCCTGGTGATAATCGATGCTTGTAGATTGATTATTTACGCCACATTGTTGATGATGTTGGGCAAAGACTCCTCGATGTTAGATTCAGGTGGCGAAGGAGGTGCTTTTTCTTTTTGAATTCTTGAGGGTGTTTTAGTATTTACACATTTTAATATATATTTTAATTGAAATTTAAATTAGATTTCCATACTTATACCAAACATGTTTTCAAACCTCATATCCATCTCCATCTCCATTTCAGTTTCCATCAAAATCAATTCCATAGTACCAAACAGGCCCTAAGTCATGCGATTTGATTATTTGAATCTTATAATAAGGCACAGATAGAGTACTCTTTAGGAAAAACTAATTTGAAAGTCCTTATAATTTATCTTAAAAGCTTATCAATCACTCCCTATAATAATCACCATTAGCACCATTAGTCCTCACAGTTAAGAATAAAAAGGAAGTCGTAACGTACAGCTCTAATACTTTTACACATAGCTATGCTCAAAGCTTCCCGTAGCAATTATCAAGCTGACAAAGTTATGGGATGGTGGATACAACACCTTAACTTATAACCTCTTTATTTTTTTCGGGGCTAGAATCATTTTTAAAACCTATGACAATTTCTTAAGTATTTATTTCTCATTTATCTCTAATTATTTGAGGCCTCCTCGTATTTTAGATAATTCAATTTCAGTCATTATTGATAATTAGTTAAAACTCTGGGAATTTCATCCATTTGTTCTAGGGATATTTTTGTAATTTTTTACCTTATACGGGCCTCAAAATCTCATTTCTCATTTTCTTGGAATTTTTTGAAATATTCAAGCCCAAGCATCACTGCTCAATTTCTAACCAAAAACTTTTCAAATTTATATTTAGGTCTTTGTTTTGGTTTAACCTCATGAATCCTTCCACTGAGGTTCTCAGCACAATCTCTGGCTCTTAATCATCTCCAATTCCTATACTCAAGTTTTTGAGACTTCATTGGAGTCTCTAACTTGCTTGTCTCACAGTTTTAAAGAATTCTTATTTTGCGATTTGGTTTTTAGAAATCGTCTCATTCTTCCAGGGATTTTCTAGAATTTCGGTCAATTGGAGTTTGGTAGCTTGTCCATTTCAGACTAACTTTGATATTTCTAGGCCCAAAATTCAAGATGTTACAGTGGCCACTTTAATTTTCTGGGTATGTAATTCTGATGAGCAATTATCAAGTTTTAGTATGTGATTATAATTAAGTTAAAATTTTAAAAAAAATATATATGTCTATAAACGAATTCATAAAGAATGAGCAGGCACAAAGCAATTATAAAACAAGGTTTATGAGTAATTTAATTTAGAGTTAAAGTGCATCCAGCATGCTAAAATATTTTTTTTAAGTGCGCCCAACATCTTGAATTATTTTTTGGTGCATCCAACAACCTAAAATATTTTTTTCAGATGCATTCAGCACTCCAAAATATTTTAAAAACTTTACGGTGATGAATGCACCACAAAATACTTTAATATACTGGATACACCAAAAAAAATATTTTTGAATGCTGAATGCAACTTAACCTTTAATTTATTAACTACTTTTAATAGTTTTCTTAAGTCATGCAATTTGATTATTTAAATCTTATAATAAGGGAGTACCTCTTAGGAAAAACTAGTTTCAAAGTCCTTATAATTTATCTTGTTTTTTCAGTGTGGTCCTTACATTTTAGAAGCTTATAAATCACCATTTGCACCGTTAGTCCCTACAATCAAGATTCCTCCTCCTCCTCCTATCACAGGTTACTGGAGTGTTAATATTAACTGTGTAAGAAATATATGCCATATGAGAAATTATATGCTGCTGCCATATTATTCTTTACCTCTTTTTTTTTCCCCCCTTGATGAACAAAAACGGGGGCAAACAAAGTAACCATATACTTTTGCTTGTTTCCATTATACAAAGCCATTATGAAGCCCAAAAACTTCTCCAAGAAGGTATCACCCAACTCTCCTGAAAGACTGGAGGAGGGAGAGAGGTTGGGGAGTTGAAGAGTTTGTTGCCAAACTGCTCAGTGAAGGAGAGAGATTGAGGAATTCAAAATCATATTAAAACTACAAGTATTGTTGGATTAGTTTTCCCTATGAAACTTCTTTATGTTACTTCAAAATAGTGTACTGTATGGAGTGGTTGATGCATTTTCAAAGTTGAATGTGCTAACTTCCAAGCATATCAAATTCACAGGCGGGGCTTAATTTGGGCAATATGGCGTCGTTTGTTTTACTTAAGTTCATTTTGGTGCAGTAATATATTAAAACTTGGTCAAAATGGTTTAACTGTTAAACATGAAGAATAGCCTGATACCTTGTTCGGTTCGCTTCACAATTTTTTACGTTTATAACACTCTGCCTTCCCTTTATTTCTGACGCCACTGGCAATATTACAAGAGTTTTGCACTTTCCCTTTCTTAACTTCTAAGCTCAAACATTGCAAACAAATTACAGTGTTTTATGTGGATCACTAACTCTGGAGCATAGCACTAAAAATTTCAGGGACCTTAACCCATTGCATGATATTATTCATCAGCAGGGTTGCAAGGAAAAGTACATTGGGAGCATAATTCCTCTTGGCCCAAAACAAGCTGAGGTAACTACAAACATATTAGTTTGCCGCTTTGAAGTTATCAAGTGCATCTTTGGATCTGTTTAACTTAGCAATTCTTTGACTTCTTTCTATAATGATCTAGGTTTCTCAACAGAACACAAATTTCTTGCAGCTTTTACCATGGGAAGGGAAGCTCACAAGCGTGTCACATGGATCTAGTTTCCTTCAAGCCCAGAAAAATATGATACTCCTCCGGTCCTAAATATAATTTTTATTAGTGTAAATGTCATATATTTAGGACTGGAGGAGTATTCTGTATTCTGCGTTCCAGGATTACCACAAGGTGTTAATACCATGGTCAGAGTTTTAATTCCTTTTCAAAAATATAACGTCGAGAGCAGAAAAGGTACTTGCGCTATATTACTCATACAGTCATATGATTGGTCATTTGACTATCTTACTCTTTACATATTATTAATTAAGGAAATTCTAACTTAGCATCTTTCACACACCGCATGTGGATACAGATCTCCGTATCATTTATAATCTTCCCACAAAATGTTTTAAGGAAAAAGGAGAAAATAACGGATTAATCAAACCATGGTTAGATACGTAGCGAGAGCATTTCAGTGATGCATTCTCTAAGTGTTAATATTGTCATCAATTTCAGTGATAGATGAGGATATAATGGTCCCCAAGGACATTTTAATTAAGCTTAGAAACTTCATTGTAGATTTTGCATTTCTTAAATATGAGTTTAGACTGATAATTTTCCCAATATGTGTTGGTCTTGCTACGAATTTCGTGTATTCATCAAAGCTTTAGAAGAATTGGTTAAGTGATACTGGAGCTCATAAAAGCTATTTTCCAGAATTTAAAACAGGATTTTATTGATACTAAACCTTAGGATAGGAGGTGAATTTTATTTTTATGTTTACTAAGTTATCCTGCACACTAACAATGACTTAGACTGAGAGTTCACATTACATTTGAGACGTGTCCTTTTATGGCCTTGGTTCATGGAAAATTGTGAAAAGTAGGATCCAAGTCAGGGACTTTTGAAGAAGCTTACTGGGGACACACTTACACAGGTATTACTAACTTGACCTCAGTACTTTTCCTCAACAAACTTGAAGGGCAGTTCCAAACTTTTGTTCTGTTTTTTCTGTTGTTTTGTTTCGCTCGTGGACGCAAAAATTATTTCAGCCCAATTTCTACAGAAAAGAGATTGAAATACATCCTCTCGTAACCCTTTGTTTGGTTGGGGTTTTTTAGAGTAAAGAATTCTTGTCACAATGATTTTAGATATATTAAGCCATAATGAGAAGCTTTTAAGTACCACTTTTGTTTTGTTCTCCCCCCCCCCTCATTTTTGGATACACGAGGAAAACAAAACAACATTAAAAACAGAACAAAAGTGAAAAGCCTAAACTATGTTTTCATAGAAATACGCAAGATTTTTACATACTAATTAGCTATATCTCCCTCCGTCTCATTGATACTACATCCATCCTGCAAGGAGATGTTTTTTGAAGATTGCTCTTGTATCTAACTCTTGCTTCTTGAATGCTTCTAAGACGAGATTTCACCTAACTTGTATACACAACGTACAAATGAAGTCAAAGAAAGATCGACCTTTTAGCCGAGTAAATATTATGCAGAAATTAGTCATCTATTAGTATCAACTTGTCTATAGAGTTATGTATAGCAGTTATGCATACAACATTTGTATCCTAAATTATTTTACACTTAAATAAGCTTAATAATGACAAATTTATTATAAAACATGTGCAAAATAATAAGAGTTTTGGAAGTCTACTTCTTGATTTGATTTTGTAAAATGATTTCGCGTACACTTGAGAGATTTAAGCATTGTAGTAACATAAAATGACTGACCAAGGCAAAAAATAGTATCAAGGAGCAGCAGTATCATCTAGATGATCTTCATCATATAGCACAATGTAAACAATCAGAAATACGCCTTAGCATCAAGTTTGAAATAGATGCCTGAGGCAATGCCAAAAGTTTGACATAAATGAAATTCTCCCAAAAGCAAAAAGCCTAAACTAACTGAAGCGTTCATAGAGAAACATGCAAGACCTCCTTATACTAATTAGCTATATCTGCATGGGCTTCATTGAAATTACATCCGTCCTTCAGTAAGGAGATGGTTTTTGAAGAATTGCTTTTGTATCTAGCTCTTGCTTCTTGAATTCCTCTAAGGTGAGATTTACCCAACTTGTATACACAACCTATAATGAAGTCAAAGAAAGATCAATTTTTCGGCCAGGTAAAAATCATGCAGTTAAGCATGTATATATCGTCTATCCTAAGTTCCTTTATATTTCAATAAGTCTAATAATGACAAATCTAATCGAAACTGGAGAGATTTTGGAAGGGTTTTGGAAGTCTGCTTGCTTTGATTTTGTAAAATGATTTCGTAAAGGATCGAAAACATTTACCTAGAGCTGACAGCAAAAACAAACTTTTTACAATGATGGAAAAAAAGGGCTTTCTATAACGATTTTATAACTAGTATAGATACACCTCGATTTAAAAAATCTAAAACATACCTTGGCCCCAATTCTGAAATAGACGATCAAGGGGATGCCAGAAGTTACACCCACTACCAATAGCTACAGCCTCCTAAATCAATATTAGATTCATCTCTTGATTTTTGCCGTCTTTCAACTTTTCTGCACAAAACGTGCCACTCATACTTGCTTATTTTAAACAGTACTGAATTATAATATATAGTGTAAAATGATATTTCAAGTTGGTTCACTCACATCAAAACAAGAACATTGAATATGTATAATATATAGTTGGCCCATGGCAATTGGATCCTATATATATATATATATATATATATATATATATTATTTCCTCCTAGACCCTTTCCTATGTATGGTCCTTAACACGTACAATGACTAGGTAAAATTTTCTTCAGCTTATGACTTGTGCCACAAATCAAAGGGAATAAAAAATTAAGGGAATACATAAGATATGGTTTGACCTTTGATAGACTGTTGAAACTAAATTATGTCCTACAAGTAAAAGGCAACAAAATAAAAACAAATTTCCAAGATATGAAAACAAACCCAGCCAATACTCTGAATTGAGCAACTGCTATGGAAATGAAATAATTAACGAAATATAATATTTAGATGAATTGAAAGACTATATTGAATTAACATATCAATGAAAAATTCAAATATCCATCAAGCATGCATTAATATAAAATATAAAGTTTAATCTAAAACCAGAAGGGTTGATCCACGTACCTTGGAAGTATAGACTCATCTTCTTCAGCAACGAACTGGTCATGAGATCTCGAGCATTGAATATAACCTCCATCTTTCCCATCTTCAGTGAGTAACATCAGTGGCCTGCAATATTTCCATCATTGTCTCAGGGCCCAGTATTTCCAGACCCATTGCTCCATTAAGTGCTCTTTTGGCTAGTAAATCAGCAATGCCATTGCCGTCTCTGTGAAAGACCTGCATATCCACTGACCAATCCCACTCTAACATCCCTTTGATTTCCATGATCACAGCAATATCCTTGTGCGTCTCAGGAAACAAAAGGGAAGTTTTGCAGAAGCATTCATGAAGCATGAAGAAAGATTTGCAAAGATGGAGGGATGCTTTAGAAAAAGGGATGCTTTGGAAGATGTAGGTGGTTTTTGCCTTTGAGAATGCGAAGAAACTTTAAAGTATTCCAAAACTCTCAAATATTTTACAAAAGACTGTTTGCTATCTCTAAAAAGTGAAAGCAAAGTAGTACTCTTTAACAGAGTTGTACTGGATCTTAAAGCTCATTGTGGTTTACTATCACGAAAAAGGCCCAATAACCATATGGATCAGAAAAGCCATTTGGAGACTAATACAAAGGATGAGAAAATGGCCAATAAACATCCTATTTGGGCTTTGGAGTAAATTGAAATATTTAGAACGTGCGAGTGGATTATACTACATCCGCCTCTTATTATAAGATTCAAATTTTTGCATTAATTCATTTCTTGTTACAAAATAACCTTTTAAATATTGAATACATTTTTATCATTTTTCCCTTCATTAATATATTCTCTCATTATTTTTTCCCCAAAACATTCTCTCTCTCTCTCTAACTCTCACCTAGCCACTTTTACGCAAGGATATATTTGAAATAAAAATTATATTTCCTACTTTTGACTAATTTTAATAGTTTTATTAAGTCATGCAATTCGATTGCTTGAACCTTATAATAAATTATGGATAGAGTACTTTTTAGAAAAAATTTAATTTGAAAGTGCTTATAATTTATCTATTTTTTTAGTGCGGTCCTTACACTTTAAAGGCTTATATATCACCCTTTGCATCGTTAGTTCTTACAGTCAACCTCCCGCAGCTTACTGAAGAGTTAATAATCAACTCGATAAAGAATATGCCAAATAAGAAATTATGTGCTGCTGCCATATTATTCTTCACCTCTTTTTTTTGTTTTTTTTTTTGTTTTTTTTTGGGGGGGGGGGGGACAGAGGCAATGAAAGTAACCATCTACGTACGTTTGCTTGTTTCCATTATACAAAGCCATTATTAAGCCCAAAAATCTCCTCCAACATGGTGTCGCCCAACTCTGCTGAATTCTAAAGGACTGGTGGAGGGAGAGAGGTTGGGGAATTGAAGAGTGTGTTGCTAAACTGCTCACTGAAGGAATTCAAAATCATATTAAAACTACAAGTATTGTTGGATTAGTTTTCCCAATAAAACTTATTTATGCTTCATATTAAAGTACAAAATAAGCCTTATATTTAGTAACGGAGGGAGTATATATTTTCTATCATAAGTTGTTTTATACTTAAATAAGCCTAATACTCACAGACCTAACAGAAACGTGCAAAATAATGAGTTTTGGAAGCCTACTTCTTGCTTTGGTTTTGTAAAATAATTGAGTAAACTTGAGAGATTTAAGCACCCATATTGAAGGAACATAAGATTTGTTGATGGATTATTTCCTTTGATGCACGATACTGCCTTGCAATCATATCATGGATTCATGATTGGGCCAGGGCAAAATATAGTAACAAGAAGCAGGAAGTATCATTAAGATAATCTTCATCATCTGGTACTATTTTCTTGAGTTTCTCAAACAGAAGCAGACCAGCTTTGGGTCAGAGTCTTGAGGGCAAAATATGGCAGCGATGATAAGGTTGGGTAACAAGAGAAAGCTCGCAATGCGTCTCACCTCTGGAAAAGCTTAGTAAGCATCAGGGCAGAAATTATTTTGGGAGTAAAATGGAACCTCGGTGATGGGAAAGGGGTACGGTTCTGGTCGGACCACTGGATTGGAGACCTAGACCCCTTAAGGAACCTGGCTTTCGCCCCCATAGCAGAGGCTGAACTACACAAGTCAATATCACACTACGTAACAGATGACGGTCAATGGAAGTGGAATGAGTTTAAGGACCCGTCGCCGATGGAAATTCTGGGAATGATTGAGCAGAATAAAGCCCGGACTAACGGTGCTGTATTCGATACATGCCATTGGTATCTGAATGGAAACAAAGGCTTCACAGTGAGCTCAGCTTATCAGCTCCTAATGATGGACAAATGGTATGAAATCGACACCCAATGGGAGATTGCATGGACATGGCATGGCCCACAAAGAATTAGGACGTTCATTTGGCTAGCCTTAAATGACCGCATTCTCACAAAGAAAGAGTACGCTGTCATGTGTCCCATATGGATGACTGCGAAATCTGTGGAGGAAGAACAGAAGACTTAAACCATATAGTTCGAAGATGCAACCTTGCCCCTGCGTGCTGGAATCTTGCTCTCCCGGCAGATCAGATCATCACTTTCTTCGCCCAGCCTTTTAATGCTTGGTTTAAGCAACACCTGAACGCTAAGAGAGAAGGAGCCCACTGGAGCATCTTGTTTGGTATCATCTGCTGGAAGCTCTGGAGTGCCCGAAGTAGGTTCCTCTTCTGCCAAGACAATACAGAAGCGCACAAGCTCATAAATGAAGCCCTTTCTTGGACTAACCATGTTATTAAAGCTAAAGATTTCTTTCTGAATGTAACTTAGCGCTACTGATTGTTTTCTTTCTTCCTCTTTAGCTGCTGTATTCCCATTGTAAATATCTCGAGTAATAAAATTCCTTTTCCATTAAAAAAGAAACCCTGGTCAGGACCACTCTTCAGCTTATGACTCAAGAAGACATAAATGTCATCAGAGTAGATGTATTTTTAGTTGAAAGAAAATTACAAAGTTAAAAGGAAAATGAATAAAAAAGGAGGAGATCACCCCATTTCTAGGGAGAGTCTCATTCATACTTTAAGTAACAAGAAATTCTTACTGAAAGAAACAAAACACGTACCTAGAATTGACACTAGATAGTAAAGGGGGACAAAAACAGCTTTCTGGACCGGTTTTGTGATTGGCGTAGATATAGTTGAACTAGAAAGTCTGAAATATACCTTAACACCAAGTTTGAAATATATGCTCAATGGAATGCCAAAAGTTTGACATCCACTCCCAACAGTTACAGCCTTCTTTATTGTCAACTTTATTAGGATTGCTGAAGCCACGTGAATCACTATCAACTTCATCTCTGGATTTTTGCCATCTTCCAACATTTCTACACAACAAACACCACTCACACGAGCTTATTTTAAATGGTACTGACTTAATATATGGTGTAAAATGATATTTCAAGTTGGTTCAATTACAACAAAACAAGACCAATGATTATGCAAGATATATAGTTGATGACCTACAACAATTGGATCTTATATCTATTAATACTTTCTCCCGTCCTTATTACATATATAACCGTTTCCTAAGATCCTTAATATAAAACCTTTTGTCTAAAGCATTAGTTTCTTATCTTAATTATCTTTTATTTTGATATTTCTTAACCAAACAACCTCCTCCAGTAATAATGAACTTAGTCATTGTGGCTAATGTTGAAGTTGAAGTCAGTCCAACAATTAACCTCATCATGGTATGCAAGGGTATGCCCTACCATTCACTTGCAAGGGTATGCCCTTAGTACAATCATGTGTATCCTTACATTGGGATTCTCTTTTATAGTTGTGCAAAAAAAGACTATTATAGGACATAATTATATGATGTGTTAAAACATAAAAATGAGGTAAAATCTTCTTCAACTTATGACTTCTGCCACAAATCAATGGGAAAAAAATTAAGGGAATATGTAAAATCTAGTTTGACCTTTGATGGACTGTTGAAAATAAATTATGTCACACAAGTACAAGGTGAAAAATAAGAAAAATTATCCAAGATATGGAGATAAATCCGGCCAAAACCATTAACCGAACAGCGCCTATGAAAATGAGATCATTAAGGGAATACAATACTTATATGAATTGAAAGATTATATTACATTAGTGCATCAAAGAAAATTTTAAATAGCCATCATATATTTAATCTAAAACAAGAAGGGTTGATCTACGTACCTTGGGAGTATGTAGTCATCTTTTTCAACGATGAGTGGATCATGATGTCTCGGGCAGTGACCATAACTTCCATTTTTCTCAACTTCACTGATATTGTAATTATTGATGCTACTACAATCTTCGTTCCTCGTTCTTTGCCAAGCTTCAACATCCTCTTTACACACCGCTCGCCACCCACACTTTCTTATTTTAAATGTTGGGGACTTTTTTACAATTGCATTCTTAGCCAAAAATACCATTTGAAGTCCGTTCACAATCAAAGAGGAACACCGAATATATATAATACAAAGTTGATGACCACAACTTGAATCTAAATAAATATCATGGCTGTGATATGTAATTGGAAATTTATCAGTAGGAAATCTGTAAGTCCAACAAATTGCATCCACCCCTGATCCAAATGCAAAATCATTTTCTATCATTAAAGATATGGCTATGCCCCACCATTCACGTGAATCACAATAATCAGGGGATATGCTTATTATGAATGACACATTTGGATGATTGAATTCTTTTTCACAAAAGTAGTTCTGATTATAAAACCATGACGGCACTTGGCTACCTGGAATGATTAATAGGAGTAGGTTGCATGAAGAAGTCACGCTGGGACAAAAAAGAATTCTTTTGTTGTAAGTATGATAATTAATCAGAAGAAATGGTAATATACATGTAAAAGTCAAATAAACTAGATATTTATTATCAAAGAATTTAAGAAAAGATTCAAGTAATTCTAAAAACTCACAATTTCTGAATCCCTTCTTATAATTGAAGACTTGATATTTAAATAGTTGTGAACTTATAAGAAACAATTTTCCATGTTAAAGAAGTAAAATGACCAAGATGAAACAACAAGCAAAGACAAATAAAATAAACCTGAGGTTGAAATGATCCAATGAGATCCCATAACTGTTGTGAACTTCTGTCATGTTCCAATGACGGGCAACCGTTTGCGAATATAGCTGATAGATTTGACGGAAGTTGTGGCAAAGACCGAAGCCAGGGGCAATAACCGAGACCAAGAACAGGAAGCTTGGAAAGATTGGAAATGAGGGAAGATGGTAAGTCAATGAAATTGTTTCCACTTAGATCTAAATATTCCAACGATGATAACCCATTGATGTGATCAGGAAGTGATCCATCGTGGAGGTTGCAAAAACCTAATTCTAATTGGCTCAAGTATGACAAAGATCGCGATAACATAAAATTTGTTGAGCTCAAAGGCCTTTGAATAAGGGAGAAGCAACTCCATGATGATGAAGATTGTGCTTCACCATTGTATTCACAAAGTGAAAGCCTTTTTGTAGCAATTTTTCTCAAATCAAGCACTTCCAGGGCCTCTTTTTAGTACAAATTCTTTGGTAGGCTTGAAAACTTTGAGCAGCCAGCAATTTTGATCATTTTCAGAGATTTCAATTTACAAACATCACATGGAAGACAAACCAGCTTTTTATAATTCTTCAAATTTAACTCCACAAGACCAATCAAATTGCCCAGTGATTGAGACATTTTGTTATAGCAGTCCCCTCTAAATCAAGTTTAGACAGACGTTCCATATCTTTTCCAAACTCAGGAAGTTTTATAACTCTTGAACAACCAGATAGAACAAAAGTCTCTAAGCAATTCATCTCAAATTTCCTTGGAAGGTTTTTAACTTCTCTGCAATCTTTCAAGTTAACAATGACGAGTTTTTTGTGTTGTCCAAGGGATCGGTGAATTTCAATCAAGTTAGAACACCCTTCAAGAATCAATTTTTCAAGATGAGGAATTCCATCAAAATTTGGAGTTTTGCTGAGGTACTCTGAATAAGAAAGATCAATGGACTTGAGGCTTTGGAGAGACTAACAACAACAAAAAGGGAAACATTAAGGCCTCAAAAACCAAAAACTAATTATAATTATAAATTATTAAATTATGCACAAATAATTTAAATGGAAGGGCTATAATTACCGGTCTTCCGCTCCAAAGCTCTTTTAACTTGCTATGTCGCATTATTAGTCCAACAAGTTGATGGAGTTGAGGCTGACTTGGCAAGTAAAATAATGGATACCCCTCCCATATTATCACTTTTCAACTCTTTGGAAAGGGCCTTGAGTCCATAAGGAAGATTCAATTGAAAACGTAAAACATGTGAGCAATTTGAAATGATAAGTAACTTGAGATTACTCATTTTTGAGAAGGCTTCAGGATCCCAAAATGTATCACATGACTTTTCTAATGTGAGAATTATTCCCCGAATAGCTTCTGTCCCCTACAAAACAAGTTCAGGTAAAAATATATAGAAGTCATGGAATAAATTGTTATAAAAATAGTGCAAAAACACAAGAACTCTGGAATGTCACCTTATTGTTTTCTAATACATGCTTGGCATCCTCCAAGGACAGTAACCTAGAGCGCTTGCCGGCATCATCAGGTGATTTTTCGTAGACAATATATTTACCCATATTTTGAAGAATTTCACGCACCCACAAATGCCCTTCATAATTAATTACTAAGGATTGCTCAATAAGAACATTTATTCCAATTTTTGGGTGAAGATCATTGTCCAAAATTTCTAAAATTTGTATGACATGATCTTGGACCATTCCATTGAAAAAGCAAGCAATATCCAAGAATATAGTCTTTTGTGTAATGTCTAATCCATCAAAACTTACTTGAAGTATCTTTAAAATGTCATTTGGAGGAACTTTCTTGAACTTAGCTGGTGCATGCTTCCATTGCACTATAGTTCTTTTGCAAAGAAATGAACCTAACACTTTGAGTGCTAAAGGAAGGCCTCTAGCATATTCAATGACGGTTCTAGCAAGGTTCAAATAATCTTCATTAGGTTTATCTCCTTTAAAGGTTTTTTGAAGGAAAAGTTAAAGGGACTCATTATCACTCAAGAATTTCACATCATACTTAGTAGATACACCATGCGAGGATAGCAAATGCTTGTCCCTGGTTGTTATTATTATTATACTCCCTTTGCTGAACCATCCTTGCTTTGGAGCCAAATTTTCAAGTTGGCTAATGTCACTCACGTCATCAAGGACAAATAGAACTTTTCTATTGCGCAACATGTTTTTTTATCAACTTCATTCCTTCATAACAATCACACACTTCCATACTTCGTTTCTCTAAAGAAAAAAGAAGTCTTTTTTGCAATGAAATCAAACCTTCTTTTTCATATGCCTCTCTAATATTATGAAGAAAGCAGTGAATCTCAAAGTTTTTGAGCTTTCGCTCATAAAAAGCTCTAGCAAGAGTTGTTTTGCCTATGTCTCCTATACCCCATATTCCTATAAACCCAACTCCTCCCAATTCCATTGTGACGATTGACTCTAATTCATCTAATTTTGGTTGAATTCCAATTAACATACCAAGGTCAGATGGCAATTCGTCATCAAGTAACTTTGACATGATTTCTTCAGCAATGCTTTCAGTGAATTCCATTTCATGCCTGCATAGGAAAATATAATTATACCGACATGAAAATAATTTCATTATTGAAGAGTTGCGCAGAGCTTCTAGTATTTACAGACAGACACAGAGGGTGAGAAGCTACGGTATAGTCTAGTCTTGATGTAAAAGAGATTAAGAAAGAAGATTGCTACCATTGTGTGTGTGTACACACACTTTGCGAACTCCTAAATACTGAAGCCATTTAATTATATTAACGTAAACATATGATTGTTGGAGTTCACTTTTTTTGGTAACATGTTTTATAGTTGACCCTTGAGTAGTTTTTCTATGTTTTATTTAAGGAACAACGTCAGATTAAAAGTTCAATATGTAACGCTGTATGGTAACATTTCCAACCATAAAAAAATAATAGATATTATTAATTATTAATAAATAAACAATGAAAGTTTTCTTTTCGACAAAAATAAACAATGAAACTTCAAAATACAGAGAAATTATTAATATTAATTTTTTAACTATTGAATTACATAATAATTATAGGGTTAAGGTATAATTTTAACAACAAAGTTTACCTGAAAGAGCACTGGGTACCATAAAGTTTATTTGGGTGCAAAAATATACATGAAGTTGTCAAAAGGAAGCATGTGGCACCATGCCGTTAACGTCCGTCAGTTTACCGTTAGAGGGGCCCAGAAAGTCAGTTTTAAGGTGCATTTTTAACAACAAAGTTTGCATCAAGGGGCATTAGGCACCATGAAATTTACTTAGATGTAAAAATATACATGAACTTTGTAAAAGGAAAAAAATAACAAAATTCTTCAACCTCCATAAACATCCATTAATTTTATTCTTTTTTGTCTCACCAAATGCTATATTTTCTCTCTATAAATTTCCACTTCCAAGCCGATCCATCTTTCTCTCATCATAGTCAACACGCACACTCTCTCTGTCATGTTGTTTTCTGAGCCTCCAAGCCTTTTATATGTATTTAAGCAAAACACATCTTTCCCTTCTAGGATATGAGGTTTATTGCTTGCATCCAAGTACTACCTCCATTCCTTAATATAGGATGCAATGGACTAATTTGAGGAGATTAAAAATAAATAAATAAATTACTTTAAAATATTATATTTATTGTTTTTTCTCCAAATTAATTTTCTTGGCTTGTAAACTAATATATAATTTAATGATGCATATAAATATTTTAGAGAGATCATGTACTATATGCTATTGCGTCAAATAAATAAATAGTATAATATTTAAAGTAATTTATTTATTTATTTTAATCTCCTCAAATTAGTCAATTGGATCCTATATTAAGGACTGGAGGTAGTACTCGGGTGCAAGTAATGAACCTTATATCCTAGAAGGGAAAGATGTGTTTTGCTTAAATACATATAAAAGGCTTGGAGACTAAGAAAACAACATGACAGAGAGAGTGTGCGTGTTGACTATGATGAGAGAAAGATGGATTGGCTTGGAAGTGAAAATTTATAGAGAGAAAATATAGCATTTGGTGAGAACAAAAAGAATAAAATTAATAGATGTTTATGGAGGTTGAAGAATTTTGTTATTTTTTTTCCTTTTACAAAGTTCATGTATATTTTTACACCCAAGTAAATTTCATGGTGCCTAATGTCCCTTGATGCAAACTTTGTTGTTAAAAATGCACTTTAAAACTGACTTTCTAGGCCTCTCTAATGGTAAACTGACGGACGTTAACGGCATGGTGCCATATGCTCCCTTTTGACAACTTCATGTATATTTTTGCACCCAAATAAACTTTATAGTGCCCACTCTTTCGAGTAAACTTTGTTGTTAAAATTATACCTTGATCCATAATTATATTATGTAATTTTACTAAAAGTCAACAGACCTGCTTGATACGCTAAAGAAAAATGACCATTTCAAAATGCTATTATTGATTGAATTCAATTGAGAAACCTATTTCGTCAACAATAAATATAAACAATAGCACTACAAGTCTATTAATTTTGCTAGCAAATAAATGAACTCTAAAGTTTAGTTGAATATCAACACCCTTATTTTCAACAAAATAAAAATAAAAGATTGTTATTGAGAGAAAAGTAATTACCAATTTTGTAAGTGCCAACCACATATAGTAGCAATTTTTTCTAAAGCATCCCTCGATTTTCGCACTTTCATTTTGTCTTGTACAAATCTTTCTTCATGCTTTATGAATGCCTCTGCAAAACATCCCTTTTGTTTCCTAACACTAGAGGGATCTACACGGTAAAATATTGGAAATACTTGAAGACTCGACTCTTCTTTTAACTGCAGGATCTTTTGAAGCTCATCCAAACACCAAGTTGAAGAAGCATAATTTGGGGAGAGCACCACAATTGCAGAACGAGATTCATCAATTGCTTGTACTAAACCTGGATTAATATATTCTCCCCTTTCAAGTTCTTCCTCATCCCGAAAAGTTCTCAATCCTTTGCGTTTTAAAGCAACATACAAATGATCAGTAAAATTTTTCCGAGTATCTTCCCCTCGAAAGCTCAAAAACACATCATACTTCCATCTCTTAGTTGAGGCAGAAGAGCTTGAAGAACACCCAACTCCATCGACATCACGCGCCATCGCAAGGATCTGGAATCTGAATCCAAACAAAAGTAAAAACACAAAAACAGAAAGAAGAATACATATATAATAGGAGCTTCAACAAAGAGTGCAGCAATCAGTCCAATGCGAAGCCTTGAGAGAGGCATTGGGCATATTACAACAAATAAAGTAAAAATTCAAAATCACAAAATGCTCGAAGATCCATAACAGAAACAATCCATATCACTGAAGGAAACAAGATATAATAGAAACACCAACAGACAAGGTTCTTCTCACCGCAAGATTTCCACTCTTCATGCAAAGTTTGAAAGCAAAATTTCACAGATCTAACCAAGTCATTTCAGTGATAAAAAATGTAGAAAGGAGAAAGGAAGAAAGTAGAAACCTGACATATGAAATAATATCGAAAGATTTGTTCGATTCCCACCGCCCTGATATAAGATGAAGTCCAGCAGCCTGGTACAGATTTTATAGAAAGAAAAATGAAGAAAAAATGAGAAGTGAAAAAGGTGGGAGTGAGCCCCAAGTCTTCTCTCAGGTCTTCCAGTTTTTGGGCATTGACGTTTCAAACCGCATTCCGGGCGGGACACTGTTCCATTTTGCTGAAGGACAGAACCATGTGACCCTACATCAGTCCATTATTGGGTTTTCCTTTTCACTTTTTAGACATTGGAATAGTGTAATTATTGGAAATTAAGAGAGTTTAATTTTGACGGACTAATTAATTCATTAGATGAAATAGCTCCCCGGTGTGGGAGATTCATGATGATGCATTTCTCAGAGAACTTAATTTCAAAATACTAACTCATTAGTAACGGCTTATAAGTAGTTTTGTAGAATATGAGGTAAATATGTAAAAAAGTTTTATTGTGACTTATATAAAAAGTGTTTATAAGTGCTTATGAACAGGTTTTAGATAGGAGATTATCTTGAAGTTATAAACTATACTACTTCCTGAGGTATTTCAATACGGGAAATGAAAGAAAACAGCAAATTCCTGTATTACCATTTCCACAGACTTCTCCCAAAAAATGAGAAACAATTCTCAAGTATTAAAACCCTCTCTTTCTTAGTTCCGCTCCGCAAAGGATGTTTATCATCTTTTGCCCATTGAGTTAGAAAGGCAACACAGGAAGATTTTGGAAGGTGCTGTGCAACTTCCGAGTAATGTTCAAGTTCTTGTTTTAGATATTCATTTCAGGTGGTCTCAGGTTTTACTCTTCGGTAATATCACAGTGATCCAGATTATCTTTTGGTTTAAACTAACTTGTCTCATTTATTACTTGATACATGATCTAATGATCTACTCATATGCTATAATTAAGCAATTTAGTAAATCTTTTTCAAATTAATCAACTAGCTCATATATATATATATATATTAAATATTAGACGTAATAGTAATCTAGCTGCTTTTTGTTTTTAATAATAATTTTTTACGGCCACCATAATATATATATAGGGAAAATTAATCTTTTGATTCTCATGCTTTTAACTCATTTGTAACTCAATCCTTAGATTATAACTCGATGCAATTCAATCCATAATTTTAACTTAATTGTAACTTAATTTCTAAATTTTAATTCGATGCAGCTCAATTCCTATAGTTTATTTATTTACAAATTAGTCCATGTGTTTTAGAAAATAAAAATCATGGAAAACTAAAATTTTAATCTTTATAATCTCATTGAATATATAATTAGGTCCCGCAGTTTATATCCTTTTAATTAACTCCTTGCACCGCGAATGGCGTTCCTTCTCACCATTAATTAAGTAGCTGTTATGATTTAGCCATTTCATTATCTCACTTTCTACCCCCGAAATTTAAAAAAACAAAGAAAAGAAAAGAAAAACGAGACTCCTTGTATGTCTATAAATGAGTTAAAGATTATTTGACTGTGGTGGCCTTGTATAAATTTTTTTGCTGTCATATTTTAATATTTTGATCAGAAAGTAAATTGCAAGCATGCAAATGTTGAATAAGTAGACAAAAAAATCAACGATCAAACAATAGATATCATCTTCATGTCAGTGGAGTGTTGAGATCTGAATCGATAAAGAATATACGCCGTATGAAGAACAATGGTCGAAATTGACTCTGTTTTAGGAGTGTTTGGATATCATCCCATGCTATTATCATATTATTTCCATTGCCTCTGTTTTTGGGGTCCGAAAACAGAGCTAAACAGAGGATCCTTTGCCTTCTGCTTGTTTCAATCGTGCATGTACAAATATTACCTTGTCGAAATTTTATTGTTCAGACATAAGCTAAATCCTCTGTGAATATTGAAAAGAAAAAAGCAAAAGTTAAGCTCAGGAGAAATCAGTGTCAAGCCTTGAAGAGTATCGGCCCTAATTATATATTGAATGAAATTATAAAGAATAAAATTTTAATTTTCCATAATTTTATTTTCCTAGGGAAAAAAAAAAGTTTATAGGCTTGGCAATATATATTATGCTCAAAATTGAAAAGCCCTAATTTAGGCCACGCGGCTTCATTTGTTACTAGTAAGGTCATTTTGGCGCAGAGCTTTTCCCTCAATTCTGTATGTATATCAAGACATGTGATTTACATGATTAAAACTTGTTCAATGGAGGGATGCTGAGATTTGTGGTGAAGATGAACAATCTCCACAAACAAAGGTGGCTGCTACTGCGCGGCGGGGTTCTCTGCTTGGCCAAGTCTTCCCAACACACATTTTAAACTCTACACTAACAAACACCATCTCCGATCATAAACATATACAAGAATTTGAGTTGATTAAAAGTAAATAAATAAATTAGTAATTTATAATAAATAGATATTATCTTTGCTATTTGCTAATTAAATTTATTGGTTAGAATTACTATCGTTAGAAGGACTATCTTTAAAAAATTATGTAAATATGAAAGACAAAATAGATTGGGATCTTATATTTAGGACCAAATAAAAGTCAAACAAAATCTTATATTAAGAATCAGAGGTAGTAGCAAATAATATAATATTCCTCTAGTCCTTAATATAGAATATAATTTGAGAGTTGATATTGGTCCTATATGTAAGACCCATTCACATATTTATCAATGTTTTTTAAATTAACCATAATAATATTCCTTCAATAATAATCAAATGAGAGAGGGAGGAAATAAATTAAAGAAGATGATTAAGGTATTTTGAAAAAACATATCATATTAACTAATTTAACTAATATATTTAATTTACTAAAAATAATTAATTAAGTTTTATATTAAGAGTCGAAGAATATAAGATTAGCTAATTCAAAAACAGGATAATGGTACAGTGACATTGACCATGAAGAAGAATGGAGCCGCTGGAACTGAACACGAAAAGGAGGACAAAATTATTTGAAATTTTTTTTTAAAAAAAAAAAGAAATGAAACCATTAATATGTACAGACCTTTATCACGATCCTTGGTTATTTTTAATCTAACGTTTTATTTTCTCCCTTCACTCTCCCACCTCAGCCTCAATTCTATTTTCTTTCCTTTCTTCTTCGTTCCCTCAACCCAGAATAACATTGCATGCATCACCAGTCCCGCCTCACACACTTAGGATACAAGATCATCCTTTTCAGCTTACGCCAGTGTTACTGCCGTCGTCAAGCTAAAAGATTCCCAAGGTTGACTCTTGCTTCAAATTTGAGGTGCGACACTCCTAAATCTTAACAAAAATCGAAGTGACCCAAAATATTCATGCCTCACGAGTTTCTTCATCAAATCTGGTTCGCTCCAAGGTTCGACACTCCTATACCTTTTTCCATCTTCTCCATCAAAAATGCTTTTGAAGATTCATATCTTAGATTGTCTAGGCACCTACGACTTTAAGAAAGAACTAATAGGTACTACTGTCTCTGATTTTTAATATAAAAACTAGTTTGACATTTAATTTCGTCTTAAATATAAGATTTCTTATCAATTTTATCTTTCATATTTATCTATTTTTTTCAGAGTAGTCATTGTAATAGTTGCGTATGTTAAAAGTTCTATCAAACGATAATTTTAGCTAATACATATGATTATTAAGAGTATTCTAGAAAAAATAACATATTTATTACAAATAACTAATTTAACAAACTTCATCAATCTACTCAAATTAGTTGACTAGTTCTATATTAAGGATCAAATGTAGTATACTTTATTGGAATTATAGTCTCTTTTTTGATGAGTATGAAATATATAGTGCTTCTGTAATTCTAATGATTGAGTTATTCTTTTTTTTTTTTGTGTGTTTATAATAATGGAAGATAAGAGACTGAATAGTTGTGATTTGTTTTTTAGAAAAACAGCATTCACATTGGTTATATTTTGACTTACATTTTTTAAAAAAATTTCACATTGTTTAACCGATGTAAATTTTGAACACAAGCTAAAACGTTCACATTTTCGTCCCTCCATTGGCCGACATGAAAAGTCCTATGTAACCAACGTAAAATATCATTTCTATAGTGGTGGGAAGATTCAAAAAGAAAAGGGCAAACCCAGTTTCTAGTCCTTGTAGTTTGGGTCAACTTTGGTCAAGGTCCCTAAAGTTTGTTTTTTAAGCTATTGGTCCCTCAAATTTAAAACTGTTAAGCCGTTAGTCCTTCTACTTCTTGAGGGTTAAGTTTGACCGTTAATTGACCAACTATGCTGACCTAGCAGATCCATGTGTCGTCCATGTCATTTTCTTTTTTAGGTTAAGTGCAAATTTACCCCAAAAGTTTTCACTCATAAGCGCTGAGTATTCTAAAATTTCAAATTGTAGCAATATTGTCCTAACTGTTATCAATGTTAAATTTGATCATTAACTAACCAAATATATTGAGTTGGTATGTTTACATGTGATCCACATCATTCCTAGATCATACATTAATGCTATTTCTCCCACACAAAAACAACTCTTTCCACATCTGTTATTTTGTCATTCGCTATTAGTTTAATACGTTTTACAAGAACATATATAAGAAGAAGCTCACAAGAATTCTTAAAAGATATAAATAATGAGGACGACTTCGAAAATAGCCACAGGCTTAAAAAGCACAGAAGCATTGATTTTTTCAAAGTTAGTGCTAAATCCTCACCTTGAAGAAAAAATAAAATAGATCACACGTGGATCTACCAGTTCAACATATTTGATTAATTAATGATCAAATTTATCATGGATAACAATCGGGGTAACATTACTATAATTTGAAAACTTTAGAATACCAAGCGCTCCTAAGTAAAACCTTTCTGGGCAAATTTGCACTTAACCGAGAAAGAAAAATAATGTGGACAGCACGTGAACATGCCAACTCAATATAATTAGTTAACTAATGGTCAAACTTAACCCAAATAACGATCAGGATAACATTACTACAATTTGAAAACTTTTAGAATGACATTAAACCAAAAACTACTTCCAGAGACTTAGCACTTTAAATTGCAAACTTTTTAAACAAATTTATAGCTTAACTCTATATTATTATTAGCCCTAATAATTCGGCTTTTTTGTTCTTATATTATTGTACTTTGAACCTTATTATTATCATTAATATTATTTTGCCTTTATTTTTTTAAAAAAATTATGATCCAGACTTAGATGATAGTGCATTGAAAATTAAAACTCCATGTTTACCAATATATCAAAGTTGATGCTGATCTGGCATATCATAGCATTTCTACCATTAAAATAATATCGGTGCATTGGCAAATGCAGTACAACAAATGGTAAGCTAATATCCAATGCCATACATCATAGCCTACTGAAAAAACCCACTAATTCAGACTAGCCCCTCCCCTATATTACAAGGATATCATACCAATCAAAAAAATTAAAACTCCAACTGCATCAAAAAATTAACATGGTCATTAATTCCCTGATATTCTCATGCAAAGCATCATCCTCCCCGTGATCATTTGTCACGTGAAATCTTCACTGCCACTTCATAACCCAACTGGTTTGAAAGCAAAGATTGTCTTCCTCCCTCACTGGACGTAACCATTCTTGCTTGTTGTGAACCAACCTTGCATTCTTATAGTTCCTAATTCTTCTACCATCAAAATCCATATAATCAAACAATTCATCTGTCTCAGTCGTCAATGCAACACGCCCTCATTAGTTAATAGACATTTACCATACAGAACATTATTCCTCTTCTCCCACATGATATACAAGCATCGACCTGCAACTCATCCCTGACACCTGGGTGAGCGAGCCATTTTTTAAGCCAGATAATAAGACCTCCTGTCGTATGCAGAACCATAAGCAGAATGGGTAAAGTTATTCACAGCCAGAGGCAAAATTGATTCCAACAACATCGTACTCTATGATGCCCAGAAATTAAAATCAACAAGAAAATCATAGTCTATGATGCCCAACAACCAATTCCCCAACGAGAGAGAGCAAAAACGCAATACACAATCTGAAAAAACAAATAACAAAAAAAAAAATTGACATGGAAAAAGAGAGAATAGAGAACAAATGAATGAGGAGGAGGTGAAGGTTAAGAGTACTGGATCTCTTTACCATCGCCAACCCTTCTTTTCCTTTGAAGATCTATACCCTTCTCGCGACCTCCTTTGTCGATCCCAAGCCCTTCGCGATCTGTACCCTCTCTTTGCCAGCCACCCCCTCTGCTTGCAGGCCCTCGTCCACTCTGCGTTCCATGATTGCGTTTCTTTCGTTCTTTTCTTTATCACATTGTTGTCTGAGTTAAAATTAAAATGCCAAGTTGTCAACTCATTATTTTTTGCCACATGATCACTATTAACACTGTTAGTGCACATCAGCACCCTCAAGAAGCAGGACTAACGGCTTAACAGTTTTAAATTTGAAGGACCAATTCCTTTAAAAACAAACTCCAGGAACCTTGACCAAAGCTGACCTCAACTCTAAGGACCGGAAATTGGGTTTTCCCAAAAGAAATTGACAAATCACCCCTTTCGTATGGAGGGTCATATTCACATGTTTAAGTGACAAGAAATCCTGACTAAAAGAAACAAAGCATGTACCTAGAACTGACTCGACAATGCAAAAACAAACTGCTTACAGCGATGAAAAAAATGTTTTCTATAAGAGTTTTATAACTAGTACAGATACAGCTCGATATAAAAAAAAAAAAAAAACAAGAAACTTGAAATGCACTTTAGTACCAAATCTAAAATAGATGCTCAAGAGAATGCCAAGAGTTTTGACATCCACTCCCAACAGCTGCAGCCTTTTGTATTCTGCTTTTTTTTTTTTTTTTGGTGACCAAAGCTGCCTTCTGTATTCTCAATGTCACTGGGAACGTTGAATCAATATCAACTTCATCTCTAGATTTTTGCCATCTTTCAACATTTCTGCGCAAGACGCACCACTCACACTTATCTTAAACAGTACTGACTTAATACATAGTGTTAAATGAGATTTCAAGTTGGTTCGATTAGAAACAAAACAAGAACAACGAATATAATATGCATAATATATATATATATATTTGGATACCGATGGCAATTAAATCATCTATATCTTAAAATCTTGTCTTTTAAGTGTTAGTTTCTTATCTTAATGAACTTGATGTTTCTTTACCTACCAACCTCCTCCAATAATGAACTTGGTCATTGAGGATAATCTTAAATTTTTTTAAAATCATTAATAATTAATATTAACTAAATTCTTAAATTTATATGAAATTGTTCATAAGTCTTTATAGTAAAGACCGTAGAGAGTCATATTGTCACAATATGCAACAAAATATGCATCTTAAGGAGATATGTTAGTCCAGCAAATTAATTTCATCGAAGTGATGCCAAATTAGTTTCTAATACTAAGCACAGCTATGCCCAGTCATTCTTTTGAACAAGGGTATATACTAAAAAAGTAATAATGTATGTCTTCACATCGGAATTCTCTCTTATAATTGCGTAAAAAAAAACTAACTATCACGCATAATTATGTGCTAAAACATAAAAATGATGTAAAACCTCCTTCAACTTATGACTATCTGCCACAAATCAATGGAAATATTAAAAAAAAATTAAGGGAATACATAAGATCTAGTTTGATCTTTGACAGACAGTTGCAATTAAATTATGTCATACAAGTAAAAGTCAAAAAAAAAAAAAAAGAATCCCAAGAAAGCAAACCCAATACTATGAATTGATCAATGCCTATGGAAATGAAATAATTAGGGAAATATAATATTTAATGAATTGAAAGATTATATTAAGTCAATGTATCAAAGAGAAATCCAAACACCCATCAAGCATGCATTAATATAAAATATAAAATTTAATCCAAAACAAGGGTTGATCTATTTACCTTGGAAGTTGACTCGTCTTCTTCAACAATGAATCGATCATAATGTCTCAGGGAGTGATTATAACCTCCATTTTTCTTAACGTCACCGATGATGTAATTATTGATGCTACTACAACCTTCGTCCCACGGGCTCTTGGTCAAGCTTCAACATCTTCTTTACACACTGCTCGCCACCCACACTTCCTTATTCTAAACATTGGTGACTTGTTTTCAATTGCATTCTTAGCAAAGAATACCATTTGAAGTCCGTTTACAACCAAAGAGGAACAACGAATATATATCATACAAAGTTGAGGACCACCATACGAATCTATATAAACCTTAGTGCGACAATACGTCTTCGGAAATTCATCAATAGGAAATCTTAACGTCCACCAAACTGCATCCACCTCTGCTCCAGTTGCAAAATTATGTTCTAATATTAAGCATATGGCTATGCCCCGCCATTCACTTGAACCACAGTAACCAGTGGGCAAGCTTATTATAAATGACACATTTGGATGATTGAATTCTTTCTCACAAAAGTAGTTTTGGTTATAAAACCATGATGGCACTTCGGTACCATGAATCATCAATACGCGAGTACGTTCCAAGAAGAACTCACGCTGGGACCCAAAAAAAAAAAAAAACAGATAGTTTGTGTTAGAAGTATGATAATTAACACGTAAGAAATTGTAATATGTATGTAGTATGTACAAGTTTAAGGAAAAACAATCAAGTGATTCTAAAAACTTACAACTTTTGAGTCCCATTGTATAATTGCAGGCTTGATATTCAAATGGTTGCGAACCTGTGAGAAACAATTTTCCATGTTAAAGAGGTAAAACGACTAAGGTGTAAGAAGAAAATAAAGACAAATAAAATAAACCTGGGGTTGAAATGATCCAATGAAATCCCATCATGCCGTGAACTTCTGCAATATTTCATTGATGAACAACCATTTGCAATTATAAATGACAAATTTGAAGGAAATTGTGGCCAAGACTGAAGCCTTGGGCAATAAGCGAGGGCAATAGCCCTAAGCTTTGAAAGATTGAAAATAAGGCCAGATGGTACGTCAATAAAATTGTTTCCACTTAGATTTAAAACTTGCAATGATGATAACTCATTCATGACATCGGGAAGTGATCCATCATGGAGTTTGCAAAAATCTAAATGCAATTCGCTCAATAGTGACAAAGACGGTTGTAACAGATGCGGAAAATGAGGGCTTTGATAAGGATAATCCAAGAGTTGTGGAGCAGCCCAACATACTGCGAAGGAGCCAGCGAGCATGGAAGAAGCCTTGGAAGCTTCAAGAACTAGAGAACACGGAAATGGTTATATAAGGACAGGTGGTTAGAGGGAAGGGGAGTGAATGATATTGGTTATTTCCGTCCTGACAGATTCTCTGTAATTCTCTCTCCCTGCATTTTTCTATCATTCTCTTCTTTCTGTTATTCTGTATCATGTGGCTCAACTCATGAGGTTGAATAAGCTCTGTAATCGCACCCTTATTGACATACATATATACATTCAGAGCTGTTAATTGCTCGCATAGATTTTTATCGCACTCACTAACGTGACATTTGGTGCTTTCATTGAGAGGTTTAGGGAACAAGGCAGAGAACAACCGCTTGAAGGAACTACAAGCTGATATAAAGAGGACAAATGAGTTTGTAGAAGAAGCTAAGGGGCATTTTGACCAGATTGATCGACGATTCGATTCTATGGAATCTCTGTTACATTCCCTAGTGTAGTCGATAGACAGCTTGAAGCGACAACCAGAATCATCACCTTCAAGATCTAAGGATTCAACCTCCAGAATACCGATTGTAGAACTAGTGAACTTTATTCAGAACTCGCATAAGACCATTAAGGTGGATTTTTAACATTTTGATGGATCAGATGCACTGGATTGGATTTTTAAGGCAGAGAGGTACTTGAAGTATTTTGAGATTCATTTTGATGGATCAGACTCGCATAAGACCATTAAGTATTTTGAATCTCCAATGAGTTTTTATATTAAGAACCGGAAATAGTATTAAATTATGAACAAACAATTTAAATGAAAAGGGTTGTCATTACCTGTCTTCCCCCAGAGTTCTTTTAACTTACTTTGTCGCATTTTTGGCTCAACAAGTTTATGGAGTTGAGATTGACTTGGCAAATAAAATAATGGAAACCCCTCCCATTCTATGACTTTTAGCCCATTGGAAAGGGATTTGAGTCCATAAGAAAGATTCAATTGAAAATCTAAATCATGTGAGCGACTTGAAATGATAAGTAACTTGAGATTACTCATCTTTGAGAAAGCTTCAGGATCCCAAAATACGTCAGATGACTTTTCTAATGTAAGAATTATTCCTGGATTGCTTTTGTCCCCTATAAAACAACAAGTCAAGGTAAAAATGTAAGAAAAAGTTATGAAATATATCAATATTAAAAGAGCACATAAGTACAAGAACTTTGGAAGAATATCACCTTATTTCTTTCTAGCACATGATTGACATCCTCCAAAGACAATATCCTGGAACGCTTGCCGGCATCATCATGTGATTCTTGATAGACAATATATTTACCCACATCTTGGAGAATTTCATGGACCCACAAATGCTCTTCAGGATTAATTATAAGTGATTTCTCAATAAGAATATTTATTCCAATTTCTGGGTGAAGATCCTTGTCCAAAGTTTTTAAAATCTGTATGACACAATCTTTGACCATCCCATTAGAAAAGCAAGCAATATCCAAAAATATAGTCTTCTCATTAATGTCTAATCCATCCAAACTTACTTTAAGTATCTTCAAAATGTCATTTAGAGGAATTTTCTTGAACTTAGCTAGTGCATCCTTCCATTCCCCCATAGTTCTCTTGCAAAGAAATGAACCTAACACTTTGAGGGCTAAAGGAAGGCCTTTGGCATATTTATAATTGTTCTAGCAAGGTTCAAATAATCTTCATTATGTTGCTCTCCTTTAAAAGCTTTTTGAAAGAAAAGTTCAAGGGACTCATTATCACTCAAGAAATTGACATCATACATAGCAGTTACTCCATGTGATGATAGCCAATGCTTATCCCTTTTTGTTATTATTACTATGCTCCCTTTGCTAAACCATCCTTGGTTTGGTGCCAAATTTTCAAGTTGGCTTAAATCATTCACATCATCAAGGACAAGTAGAATTTTTCTGTCGCCCAACATGTTTTTTATCAACTTCATTCCTTCATAACAATCACCCACTTCCATACATCCTTTATCTAGAGAAAAAAAGAAGTTTTCTTTGCAACGAAATCAAACCATCTTTTTCATACGCCTCCCTAATATTATGTATCAAGCAGTGAATCTCAAAGTTTTTGCACGTCCGCTCATAAAATACTCTAGCAAGAGTTGTTTTACCTAAGCCTCCTGTGCCCCATATTCCTATAAATCCAACCCCTTCCGATTCCCTTGCTACGATTGACTCCAATTCATCTAATTTTGGTTCAATTCCAATTAACATACCAAGGTCAGATAGTGATTCATCAAGTAATTTTGACATCACTTCCTTAGCAATGCTTTCAATGAATTCTGTTTCATGCCTGCATAATACGAAAATATGGCTTTTTTTTCTGGACATGAAAATATCATGACCATTTGAGTCATTTGAATTTTAAAATTGTATGCATAAACACTAAATAGTTAATATGAGATATAAAGAAAACATGACCACAACTGTAGCGATTTTAAATTCACCGTGAAATTTAATTTAACTTTTAGGAGTAGAGGATAATTTCATTTATAGACGAGCTGTACATAGTTTTTTTTTTTTAATCATAGACAATCACGAAGAATGAGAAGCTATAATACAGTCTAGTCTTTGATACAAAGAAGCAAAATCCCTAAATTTTCTAATGAGATTATGAACTATAGTTATCACCATTGTGCGCGCGCGTACACACTGTGCCAACCCCTAGATATTGAAGTCATTTAATTAACACATTACTAGTATTCATTATTGAGAACCCCTTTTTGGTTATATGGTTCATATTTGACCTTTTAGAGTAATTTGAGTAGTTTTTCTTCATGTTATTCAGGAAACTTTTCACAATATACATTGTCAAATTAAAGGTTCAAATCTAATGCTGTATGGTAACCCTTCCAACTATCAAAAACTAACATTTATTATTAATGAATAATTAATAAAAAATGAAACTTCAAAATATAGAGAAATTATTAATATTAATTTTTTTAATGATTAAATTACATAATATTTGTGTAATTTTATTAAAATTCGACATACCTGCTAGATATATTAAAGAAAATGACCAATTCAAAATGCTATCATTGATTGAATTCAATTGGGAAACCTACTTCATCAACAATCAATACTATAGTGTTGGCCCAAAAAAATCAACACTATAATACTGCAGCTCTATATTACCAACAAATAGAACTACAAGTCTAAAATTAAATAAATGAAGTTTATAGTGCTATTTAGTGGAAGTTTTAAGCAGTTCCCTTACCCTTAAAAAATTAAGAAAAAACCTTGATGTAATTCAGAGTTTATTTTAAATATCCTTGCCCTTATTTTTTGACCGAAATTAAAAAAAAAAAAAACAGAGATGGTTATTACTAAGAGAAGTGGAAGTTATCAGTTTTTTGAGTCCCAACAAGATATAGTGGCAACTTTTTCTAAAGCATCCCTCCACTTTTGCACCTTCATTTTGTCTTTTAGAAATCTTTCTTCATGCTTCTTCAATGCTTCCGCAAAACTCCCCTCTTGTTTCCTAACATCAGACGGATCTACACCATAAAATATTGGAAATACTTGAAGACTGGACTCTTCCCTTAACTGAAGGATCTTTTGAAGCTCATCCAAACACCAAGTTGAAGAAGCATAACTTGGACTAAGCACAACAATTGCACAATGAGATTCCTCAATTGCTTGTTGTAAACTTGGTTTGATAGATTCTCCTCTTTCAAGTTCTTCCTTATCCCTAAAAGCTTTTAATCCTTTGCGTTTTAAAGCAGCATACAAATGATCAGTAAAACTGGTCCTAGTGTCTTCCCTTCGAAAGCTCAAAAACACATGATACATTCTTCTCTTAGTTGAACCAGAAGAGCTTGAAGAATGCCTAACAGCATCAGCATCACGCGCCATTGGAAGGATTTGGAATCTGACCAATGCGGAAACCGAGAGAATAATACATATATAGATGGATTTCTTTGAGCTTCTACAAACAGTGCAGCAATCAATGAGGGGATACTGAATACGGAAGAAAGTGAAATCAACTTTTGTAAATATCCCTTACGTTCTATTTGAGTTTCAAAGCAAAACCTTGAGAGAGGCACGGGACATATTCAAATATATCCATGCCCACACAGTCCCACGTCACAAATCAGTAAATAACACATTTCAGTATTTCACAGAAGAAAACAAGATATAATAGAAACATCAGCGGGCAGGGTATCCACACAAGATATAATACTAAAATTTATATTAAAATAAATTTTATTTACTATTTTACTAAAAATTCTTGTAACTATAAAAATATAATTTAATAATTTATTAGAATGAGCAGTAAAATAGTAAATAAAATTTATTTTAATATAAATTTTAGTTAAAAATAACACTCCTCCGATCATAAATATAAGATTCATTTTGTAGTGTAATTTATATTACAAAATGATTTTTATATTTAGGACCAGAGTAGTATCTTTTAAAATCTTCTTAGAATATTTCTAAAAGTGTCAACTAATTATAATAAACTGTATATTTTTAAAATAGAGAGGAGGTCTCTATAATTGATGCAAGCTAAGAGGATAGTCAAAGTATTTTACTCTAAATTTTTATTTGAATAGTTTTTCTTAATTTTATTCAAGCAATTTTTAACAAAATACATTGTCGGATTAGCATTTCAAATCTAATGCTATACGGTAACGTTTTCAACCATCAAAAGTTAAAAACTACTATTAATTAATTATTAATAAAATGATATTTTTTTAAAATTTAGAAATTATGAATTATTGATATTTATTTTTGAATCTTTGATAATAACAATCCTTTAAGAATTACTCAAAATTTCAATTGATTTTTCTATATCCATGCCAATTAAATTACTTGATATTTTATCCCGATATGATAAACATATTAAACAAATAATTATTTGTAAGGAAAATAATTAAGGAAAACCATAAGAAAACACTAATTGTTCAAAATAATTTTAGCCAAAGTCAAGGATTTAGTATGACAAAGGATGAATTAGTAAATAAATATGTATTAAACTTGGTTTAATAGATTCTCCCCTTTCAAGTTCTTCTTCATCCCTGAAAGTTTTTAATCCTTTTGCGTTTTAAAGCAGCATACAAATGATCAATAAAACTTATTCGAGTATCTTCCCCTCGAAAGCTCAAGAACACATGATACTTCCATCTCTTAGTTGAAGCAGAAAAACTTGAAGAGCCCCCAACTCCATCAGCATCATGCTCCATTGCAAAGGATTTGGAATCTGAACACAAAAGTAAAAGTAAAAAAACAGAAAGAAAGTGAACCAATATTTGTAAGATGTATTTTCCCGTCTATTTGAGTTTCAAAGCAAATTAAATCTTGAGATAGGTAATGGGCATATTCAAAAGGAAAAACAAAGTACGACGAAAATTTAAAATCTCAAAATGCTCGCAGATCGAGTATCCTCAAATATAATGCATAAATAATCATTTTTATTTATGAATAAAATAAAAAAATAAACAAAAAGATGAGAGATAAGCGCATGATGATTTGATCCAGCACATGACAGCACATGGGTAATTAGTCTCTGGTGTTAATAGGTTGCTATACCAAACCAAAACTTTTAGATAGAACAGAAATGTCATTCCCAGATTCAAAAGTTCCTGAAAATTTCAGAGATAGTAAATAGAGATCTAAAAGAATTGGCAAGGAAGAAAATCGATCACAGGAAGATTGAATTGATAAATCTATGTCTATATCCTTACGGTCTATTTAATTATTGTTCATATCTTCCTTGACTACCAGGGAACTTCTCTCTCTTGAGTGGGAGCTTTTCTCTCTCCACGTGAGAGTTTGTTACGGCAGTTATCACCGATTTCTTCTGTGAATCCTGTTTCCGTCTGTGATGGTGAGAGAGGTAATCTGAGAGAGCTTCGTTGCCCACTACGACAAAGTGAAGAAAGAGTGATTCCTTTGTTACTCATTGTAACAGAGGAATAGTGAGGATAGAAGTTTGGAGGTACTTGGAGTGGTAGTCTGAAAGAGCTCCATCGCCTACTGTGGCAGGGTTGAAAGAGTGTACGTGCGGATTTTGGCGATTCGAAGGAAATGACGAGTGTAGAGAATGGAGGCAAAGGCAGTAACCATCAGCGATTAGAGGCTAATCTTGTATGGAGGAAAAGTGATCAGAGAAAGAAACATAGAGGAGCTCTGATCGGTCGTTTGATGACAGAGAAGAATTTGAATAAAATTACCTTGATCCAGATGATTCGTAAGGGATGGAATCTAGATAAGACAGAGCATATGAAGATAATTGATGTGGATCGAAACATCTTTGTTTTTGAATTTTGAAAAAAAGAGGATTATAGCAGAATTTTGAGGGGAAGACCGTGGTCAATGTAAGGTGTATTGCTAAATATTCAATCATGGAAGGAGTATATGGTGTACAGAGAGGTGGATTTTAGCGTCTGTCCTTTCTGGATTCAGTTTCACGATCTTTCTTTGGAGGCTATGGATCTGGATAATGCGATCACCCTTGGATCTATGATTGGAAAGGTTGTTATGGTTGAGAATCGGCTAAGAGATGAACTCTTGACTCGTAGCTTTTTGAGTCAGAGTTTTGGTGTATTTGAGGAGACTTTTGATAACAGGAATGTGGATGCCTAGACCTGATGGAAAAGAACTGATCTGGATAAAGGCAAAATATGAAAGACTACAGAACTTTTGCTTTTGCTTTGGAAGATTGGGACATGACCAATGAATTTGTGAGAAACGTAATAACAAAAATGAAGAGGAGGAAGTGGGATATGGGAGTTGGCTAAGCGTACAGGCTGCTCGTTTCATTAAAAATGAAGTGGTTTGCTGTAGTGAAGATTGGGAAGAATATGATGAGGATTATTGGAAGTTAAAAAAGGAAAAAAGTATAGTGAATCAGATACTGGATAAGGAGGTAAGCAAGAAGGAAGAAATAAAAGTGCAGAGCAAGAAGAATGCACAAGTTCTTGCTATTACCAACAGAAAGGAAGATGCAGAGAAGAAGAAGATAGTGATTAAAGATAGAAGTAAGTGTGTTTCTTCTGAACATAGCATTGAAAATAATAAGGAAGCAGGAGGAAATAAGGGGAGTAGAAAGGGGAAGGAGATTAATGAATCTGTGATTCTTTCTGATGTCACAAATAAAGTGGAAAATATAACTGAAGCTAAAGAGGACTTGTCGAGAGCTTTAGTAGTCTATGGAAATATTTCTCCAATTGAAGAAGTTACAAAAAATTTGAGTAGCATTGGCTTGAAAAGAGGATTGGAGGTAGTGGAGTCTGAGAGAATTGATAAAAGAAGGAAGTTGTCTGTTGATGATTCTCTGGTTAGAAATGGACCTGTACTTGTAGAGAATGTAGTGAGAAAGCGACCTGGAAGAAAACCCTTTGGTAGTATTTCGAGGGACCTGAGGAAGGGAGGAAGTAGAAGGTGTGTTGAGTTAAAGGAGAAAGGGGAGTGTAGTAAGAAGAATTTTAGAGGTGATTTGTTGAACTTTGTTGCAGAAAGGATTTGTTCTGCTATTGATAATGCTGAAGGTCTTGGTGGTTGGCCTTAAACAACCACCAAGGAGCAATGAAGCTATTATTGTGGAACTGTCAAGGTTTAGGTGGAGCCTTGATAGTAAGAAAGTTGAGGGAGGAATATTTCAAGAACGAACCCTTGATTATCTACCTAATGGAAACAAGAATCAATAATAGGAGATTGAAAAAGTTGAGAAGTGGATGTGTTATGGAAGAAGAATTCTATGTTCCTCCTAACAATAGCTGTGGGGTTTTAGCTCTCTGGTGGACCAAAGAGGTGACAGTGAATATTTGGTTTTGTTCAGAGAATATAATCCATACTACTATATTTTCTGCTAGTGACAAGATGCCCAAATATGTTACTTTTATCTATGGGGCACCTTCAGAAGGAAAAAAAAAAGAGTGTGTGGAACAAGCTTAGACATATTGCAGCTGGGACTAATTATGCTTGATTATGTTGTGGTTACTTCAATGATGTTCTGGCCAGCGATGAGAAGATTGGTAAGCTGCCAGTTGACATTAGAAGGGTACTTAACTTCCAAAATGCTCTAGGTGACTGTCATCTTATGGATCTTGGCTTTCAAGGTCCAAAGTTCACTTGGAGCAATAGGAGATTGGGGGAAGAAAATGTGAAAGAAAGGTTAGATAGAGCAGTATCTAATGTTGATTTCCGTGGCAGCTTTTAGAATGTTCCAGTAAGTCACATTATGCCTACAGGATCTGACCATCACTTGGTGCTGATTGATTTTGACTTCAAATATGGGAAATCTGTGAGGGACTTTCATTTTGAAGCAACTTGGATTGAGCATGAAGAATTTCTTCAAATGGTAAAGAAAGGTTGGTACTTGGATGATTTTGAGGAAGGCACCAAAATTGAAGAATTGATAGCAAGGCTCAAAAACTACAGAAAAATCTGAAGTGATTGGGCTAGGAAAAATTTTCCAAATGCAAGAAGATTAGTTGAAAGGCTTACTGCACAATTAGAAAAGTGTAATGAAGGCCCTGCAACAGTTGAAAAAAGAGTAGCAGCTGATAAACTCTTGAAAGAAATTGAAGAAGCTTGGGAAAGGGAGGAGAAGTACTGGTGGCAATGCTCTAGGGTGAATTGGCTTATGTATGGGGATAGAAATACGAAGTTTTTTTCACTCAAGTACCATTCAAAGAAGAGCTAGAAATAAGGTGGTGAGATTGAAAGGGGTGAATGATATTTGGTTAGAGAAGGAGGTGGAAATTAATGAGGCTTTCTGCAATTTTTATAATGAACTGTTTGCTTCTGTTGGGAATAGAGATATGTCAGAGGCACTTGGCTTGGTTCAGAAGGTTATCATAGTGGATGATAATGTGTTGCTGGTAAGAACCATTACCGTGGAGGAAGTGAAGCAAGCAGTGTTTGAATTGAATGGGGCTATAGCCCTTGGACTTGATGGGTATTCAGGTATGTTTTATCATGCAGCTTGGGGAGGTAAGGGGGGAAGTTTTGGAGATGGTAATGGATTTTTTTTTAGAACCACGCTGATTTGAAACCTTTGAATCGCACAAATATAGTTCTGATTCCCAAGGTTGAGCAAGCTGAAAAGGTGGGACAATTCAGACCAATAGGCCTATGTAGTTCCACCTACAAGATTATTTCAAAAATTTTGGCAAATAGGTTGAAGATGTTGTTGAAAAGAGTGATTACTAAGAATCAACGTGCATTTGTAGCAGAAAGGCTTATTCAAGACAATATCCTCATAGCTCATGAGGCTTTTCATTACTTAAAAAATAAGAAAAAGGGTAGAAAGATTGAGATGGCAGTGAAGATTAACATGAATAAGGCCTATGATAGGCTAGAGTGGAATTTTACTGAAGAAGTAATGAGAAGAGTGGGATTTAGTGAAAGATGGATTACTTGGATAATGGATTGTGTAACTTCAGCAAGTTTGAGTCTTATGGTTGGCAGCAAGAAGATTGCTGGTTTGAAGATGGAAAGAGGCATAAGACAAGGAGATCCCCTTTCTCCTTATCTTTTTATCATAGCAGCGGATGTCTTTTCCTTAATGATTCAGTGGCATGTGACAAATAAGAAGCTGAAGGGGATCAAACTAGCAAGTAAATGTCCTATCCTTTCTCATTGTTTTTTTGCTGATGATGCATTATTCTTTATTAATGCAAATAAGACTAATTATCATGTCTTAAAGAGAATTGTTGATGTGTATTGTATGGCTTCAGGTCAGGCTGTGAATTATGAGAAGTCCGGTATTTTTTTTCCTTAAAAAATACTAATGATGTACGGAAGAATGAGATTTACGATATTATGGGAATTAAAGCTAATGAGAGCCTAGGAAAATACTTAGGCTTACCTTTACTATGGGGAAAGTTTAAGGTTGAGGCACTAACTTTGTCAAAGGGAAGATGAATCTAAAACTGCAGAGGTGGAATTTGACCTTTGCTAGAAGGGAAATGTTGATTAAAGCAGTGGCTAACACAATACCTATCTTCCTATGTCCTGTTTCAAATTTCCAAGGAAAGTTTGTGCTGATTTAGACAGCATGGTCTCTAATTTCTGGTGGCATCAAAAAAAAGAAGAGGGAAGAATACACTAGAAGTCTTGGCAAGCTTTAAGTAAGGCAAAAAGCCAGGGGGTATGGGCTTCAGAGATCTAGAGGTTTTCAACAAAGCTCTGCTTGCTAAGACAGCTTGGAGGCTGATTCAAAATCTTGATGATTTGTGGTGTAGGATTTTGAAGGGTGTTTATTTCCCTAAGTCTGACTTTCTGAAGGCTAGGAAGGGAAGTAAAGCATCATGGGCTTGGACTAGTATTTTAGAAGGAAGAGAAGTGTTAAAAGAAGATCTGTGTTGGAAAATAGTCAATGGTGGGAAAGTGAGAGTATTCAGTGATGATTGGCTGACAAATGGACCTGTATACTCTTTAAAACCAAGGGTATTGACTGATGAGATGAAAAATTTAATGGTTAGTGATCTTATCAGAGATGGTAGATGGACACTGGAGAATTATGGGAATATTTTGGATGAGGAAGATATTGGAAGAATTAAAAGAGTCAAACTTCCAAGGTCTAATTTGGAAGATATGATGATGTGGTTGTGAAGCAAAGATGGCTGTTATGCAGTGAAACTAGGCTATAAGGCGATAAAGGAGAGAGAGGTAGGTCTTATATGTAAGGATCCTAGTAGCTCTTATAGAACTCCTAAACGAATTTGGGAAGGAATTTGGAATGTTAAAATGCCTCCAAAGATCAATCATTTTCTGTGGAGGGCAATTTCTGGTGCTCTGGCTACTAGGGAGGCTTTGTTTAGAAGAAAATGTCCAACTTCTCTAGTGTGTGGTATCTGTGGAATGTAGGAGGAAACCATTGAACATATGCTTTTCTTTTGTTCTTGGATTGCACATGTTTGGTTCGGATGTCCACTCACTATGAGGTTTGTGGGGAATGGTGTATTTAGACTTGACAAATGGTTAGAAGAATGGTGAAAAGAGGTAGGGGGTCCGAGTGATATTGAAGTGGCTTTATTTGTCTATCTGTGTTGGAAAATTTGGAAAGCTCACTGTAAATTTATCTTTGAGCATAAAGAGCTTAATGCTTTTTAGTGTGTGACTACTACTTTGAGAATGGTTAGGGACTTCTGGGATTCCTTAGAAAAGAAGAAAAAGGGAGCTGGTCATGTTGCTTCTGATATAAGAAATTTACAGCGGGTTTGTCTAAATGCTGGTGCTATAAAGATCAATATTGATTGTTCTTTTTGTAGCAAAAGCAAAACGGCAGCAGTGGGTTTGGTGGGAAGAGATGAGTATGGGGGTCTGTTGGAGGTATGGGGATGAAGGTAGATGCTGGTTCTGCTTTCATGAGTGAAGCTTTGGCACTACTGGTAGCTTTGGAGTGTAAAGAGTTGGAAAAGTGGAGGTGTGTGGAGGTGGAGACAGATTGCCAACAACTTTTCTGCAGAATGAAGAAAGGTGTTTTGGAAGGTTGTGAATGGGGAAGCAGGGATATTCTTCAAATTTGTTTAGATTTGCTGAAGTCTAAACAGAATTGGTCTATTTCTCAGGTTGCTCGGGATGGTAATAAAGCTGCGGATTGCCTTATAGCTGATGTAAGGAGAGGAATGGTACCGGAAGGATGGTTCTTTGAACCACCACCCTCTCTGTGTTCAATTTTGAGGCATGACTTTTGAGGTGATTTGTGGTTTCTCTTGGGATAGAACTGGAATTGGCTAATAGTTTTGTTGTTCTGTTTTTTTTCTTGTGTTTTTTCTTTTGAATTGGTGTTTGTATTTTTCTGCTTTTCCTAGGTTGTATTTCATGTTTGAGTCTTTTCTTGTCTTGTTGGCCTTCTTGGCTATTCGTGTTTGTACTTCTTGTTTTTTTTATTAATAAAATTGACTCTTTTTGGCAAAAAAATTTAATTATTGTTCAAAGGAAACGTTTCGTACTCAAACAAACCATAATTACAAAGTTAACGCTTGAAGAACTAAATCCATTTCCTTGAATTTTCCAAAAAAATAGGTCCTAAATTCCCGAAATTAACTTTATAATTATTTAGACCATATTTTAGGGGTCTTGATTTCAATAATTTCTCTAAGAATTTTCTCGTTCATCATGCTTTACTTGAATCCATAAAATTTGGATATTACACAGATGACTTAGTCCGCGGAGATATTAGCATTTGCTTTACGAAACCAAACCTTTAGATAGAACAAAAATCGCATTCGTACGTAGATTATAAAGTTCCAGATAATTTCAAGATAGTAAAGAGAGATCTAACAGAATTGGCAAGGAAGAAAATAGATCCCAGGTTGGTTGATGAATTGATAACTACATGTCTCTATTCCTCGCAGTCTATTTATAGTTCAAAGCGAAAGTTTCGCATTCAAAGAAAGCATAATCACAAAATTAATGCTTGAAGAGCTAAATCCATTTCAAAAAACAAAACAGAATAATAGAATTTAATGCTTGAAGAGCTAAATCCATTTCAAAAAACGAAACAGAATAATAGAATTAAACTAAACTTGAACAGACGGTGGCAGCCATGACGGAGTTAGGCACAAAGTTGTGTAGTTTTGACAATGAAGCTTTTGAAGTCAGCTCAAGCCTATTCTTAACGTGTTCATAACCGCGTTGCTGTCTGCTCCTTTGCAAGACCTTTTTTATTCTTGAGGAGGAATTCTTGTATACTCCGATCCCAATGTATCACCTCACATGAACTCTATGTAATTAAATGGCAACATCCCAGCACATTTTAATAGTGGATTTTTTTTTTAATTGGATGTAGAAATTTATTGAGGCCAGCATCCAATGGCATCAAAATAAAAGATGATCTTGGTGGAATTATGAAAACCAATAAAGGAGATTCTTTTCAAGTCTCAAACATGAATCAATACAAACAAGGAAGTTATGAAATATTGTTTGGAAAATTGCTTATTGGATGATATCAGAGTTAAGTTGATACTTATGATCCGCTTTTAGAAATTTTAACTTGGGACTTAAAAAATATATTTTGAAGTCTCAGTTTGAGGGCTTTAGAAACACTACATGTACATAGTGACTAGGATTAGAAAAAATTCAATACTTTATTGGGATGATTGTACTTCTCGTTTATATATAAGACCTATTTCACATGTATATAATTTTTTTCAAATTAAC